GAAAACAACATTTTGAGCCAGTGGCTACAGAAATTAGAAGCGTTTGCTCCTCAAGTCTGGATTTAGCTTACGTTTTATGTTCGGGAAATAATCTCGTTGAACAACTATTCCTCTCAAGGTTCAACCTTCGGAAAATCAACAACCAATAAGAATAAGTTTATTATCTGCTGACCTAGTTGACCTTAAATGTGACTGAAACGTATAAATATGATGTTTTTCCCTTGTGAAAACGTCCGTTACGAAGTTTCTTATCTTTTCACGTTAAACGTAAACCTGTTTTAATCACCGCTAAACCATCGGGAAGTTGCTGCTGACGCTTCTCCACTGCCTTCTGGATCAGACTTCAAGTCAAATGCTCGGGGAATGGCCCCTTGAGGCAACCACGCGCTTCGGTATGGGCGTCCAGGAATATCCAAGCCCTCAAGCAAACCATGAGATTTTGTGTAGCGCATCTCTTAACACCCATGATGTAAAATGTTTGTGTATCAATAAAAAACAGTCAAATTAGTTTTGAAATCAGTAAAAGCAACCAACTTTCAAGGAAGTCAGTATGGTTAGGCTGTTAATTTTCTATATGTCTATGCATCTATCAAAACACAAATAATAGACATTTATTATTTTAGAATTCATACGAATTTCTGGGGAGTGGATAATACAAGAAAGTCACTATAATTAATGAAGGGTGGGAAGAACCACTATGCAGATATAAGAATCGGCCTAACAATCCCTTAGGAGAAATTTGTATTTAGCGTGTAGAAAATTTGAATTTTAGAAGATACTACTTATCAAAAATAAGTACTACAAAACTAAAAGCTAAAATGAATATGTTTGCAAGAATATAGCAATAAAGATTAATCGCGGAATATATACACATAGATCATGGGAAAAATCAAGTTAAGCTAATGACTTTCATTAACAGTCTGTAAGCCTATTTGATGACAACAGTCATGTTTTTGAGTTGATTTATACACACTGAGAAGTAAAAGCGAATCTCAAATATGGCACTTGTAGCTAGAGTGTTTTCATCTTTTGGCTGACCACCACAATGGAATGTAGTTGCCCACTTTTGTGTTGCAGTTATCGACTTTTTATTTTCATTGATGCTTATCGGATTATTTCACAGTCAGGTACTAACTCAAATACTTTCATTCCCCATATAGCTGAGGTAAAAAAGTTCTGAGTTTAAGAATCGAAATTCCATCTGACTGACTGACTGGTTTCAACATAGAACTTTGCACCAATGTGCAGCAGTTCGAGTCGCCACACTTCACTCAGCACACAAAGCCAGAGGAGAAAGTAAAAAGAAACACAAAACAGAGATATAAGGCAAAAAGAATAGCAATATCGAAGAATCATATAGTTTCATTGGGTATTACAAGTCAAAAGGTGTGGATGCATCCGCGCTACTGAGAACAATTTTGAGCCATATCACCGATTGTCTCCAGCCATTGGTTTCTACCGTCCCAAGGACCCCAACCAGGAAGCTAGTCTACACCTTCCTACGTGGCCGGCTTAAACTAAGTGTTGTGGATTTCACTGACTGATGAAGCCATGTTTTCGTTTGACCACCACTGGCTCTTTTCCAAACTGACCCTATGTCACATAACATTATCCATCGAAATTCAGTCCATCATATTACATTCAAAAGAATGTCATTGTGAACGCTGGTCACCTGATCTCAACATCTGCCTGCTATTTGTAGGACAATAGGCATGGGATTCTACAACTTATATCAAATGAATAGTTGTATGGCCCCATCGAGACGTGTTTTCCAATGAATTCATGGCTACACAGTGCTTGTAAGTCACAAACTTCAACAAACAGCTATCCTCTATGACTTGAATCTAAGTGTCTATCTACCTGGTTTTCGTTTTTGCAAAGTGCTATTCTGTAAATGGTAGAATTTGGTTTCAACAATTATTTGGGGGTTATTATCTATAAAACCACGGATCACTTTCATCTATTGAACTGGACAACACCTAATTTTTAGGCATCCACTTCACTTCTCTGCGTACTTTACAAGTTACGGTGTAACAGCGGAAGACAAGGGCCAGGCAGAAGATCGTTTATCGAGAAAATCAACAGATATGTATAGATTTTTATATACATTATTGTCAGCGGAAAGGCAACCTCTTCTCTCTGAAGGTTATTCTGTACTGCTTATGACCGTCTCTCCGAAAGTTAAGCCATATATATGCGAATCCTATTTGCACACGCTAAGTCTTCTGTGATCGGTTGGTGATTTCCTCAGGGTTAAGCTTTGTTATTGTTTTTCTCATGATCCCGATTCGGGACGTAACAGTGACGTAAATTTCTGTCTACAATTTTGGCCTGTTCGCAGCCAGCTCTTACCACAATAACAGTTTCATACCAGTTTAGGAGAAAATCCTTTTCATAACAGCGAAGTAAAATGCATTTATGATACATTTAAACCGTAGGGGGCATTTAGATGAAGTATTAGTTATGAATTATATTCACTTAATTCGTCATGTCTTATCTATTTCTTCGTGGGGAACCGAAATTTTGACAGGTAAAGTTGTTGTTAGTGGTTTGTAAATTTATTTGCTTCAAATCATACATATACCGTAGTCTACCGGTCTTATAGTCCTAATTTTGTACACAGAAAGGGGATTATTTCTGTTCACGAAATTTACTCAATATCAACAGTAGTTTCTAACACATTCCCAATTTTGATATCTCTTATTTCTTTAAAAAAGGTGATCAGCCCTATGCTCTTCTTGGGTGTAATATACGCAGCTGTACAGTTATTCAGTGACAATTCATCGCAATCCTTGTTTACACCCGGAAAAATCAATCTACAGGCAAAATATGAATACAATTCAATTCTAATGCATACTGGTTTAACTGCTGTCTTGTCTAATGTGATAGCTATTCACTTTTTTCTATGGTTAAGAGATGAAGGCAGTTGGTTGGATATTGGAACAAGTATTAGTCATTATGTGATTGCTATGTCTATCAGTTTAGCTGCATTCCTGTTTGCATTGTTAGGCAAAAAAATGTTAAGTGCCTCGACAGATATCAGGGTATTTAATCTTGTTAAAGTAACTGATAAATATGTATAAAATACCATTTTCATTTTTACTACTCTACTTCTAATGAAGAATAGATATATTTTCCTTTGAAAAATTATTTTTTATTGATCTGTGTTTTCTGTTGATTAACTGGACTGAATTGTTGAACCTTTGTTGACATGTCGTCTCCTGCTTCTACAATGTCTGAGGACTAAAGCGATGTTACTTTGTGAATAACCTCGCCTGTTTTACTAGTCCAGAGAAAAAGGAGGGTTCGGCATGGGACTGGTGATCCTACCAGCGGAAAATCAACTCAATCGCCACAGAAACTCCAACGCAAATATCAAAAGTCAGTCTATTTTACGCTGAAATCGGAAAGACGGAATTACGTGGACTGGTGAAGGCCTTCAGGAAGCCAGTCAGTTCATAGATCTTCTTTTAATGAAAACAAAGTAAGCATGGGGGATAAGGAATGTTCACACAATGTCTGAAACTGGGAAGTCTGCTCAGGTTGTCAAAGAGATGACAAGATACGGTATAGAAGGGCTCGGAATCTGTACGAGCCGATAGAATGGAAGCGGACTATCCAAACTGCTAACTGTAGAGTCAACAATCTTTTCCTATCATTCAGATAACAACCACGAACACACCGAGGGATTGACTATTATGATTTCACTGACAGCAGCCAAAGCTCTTTCTTATCCAGAAGGATAATGACAGCAAGATTATTTAGTGCTAAGGCTTCTACAAATACTGCAGATCAAGAAAATAGGACTTCAGAGAACAAGATGTTGCAGCCCCATTTTCCATTTGCAACTTAAGGTATATAATAATATTTGGTGGGTGGGGACCAGCAGTGGAATCTAGGATGCACTGACGAATCCCGAATAGAACGAAATGACTATCCTGGATTCTATTGCTTGTCACTGAATAACATCATTTTATTGAGTGTTCAAATTATTTTTATGCGCGGTTGTCAATCACGTCATAGTTACAGTTATTCATATAGGGGTTGTATGTCTTGGGATTCGCTATACAACTTTCAACCAGATTCGCATAGGGTCGAGTTCTTGGTGAAATCGAAGTTGGGAGTAGCTTTTTCTAAGTAATGCAGATTAATATCGTCTTAAAAAAGTTCCCAAGAATTGGTTGAAGGATTTCATCATGAACTGATATCAGTTAGAGAACCATTGGAAAACCAGCTGGGGGTACTTTACAGCTGTTTCGTCCTAGTTTGGGACTCTTTATCAGTACGCATCCACCGGGGTTAGAACCCAGGACCTTCAGGTTACAAGGCGAGCTCGTAGACCAGTGGTTCTCTAACAGATGTCAGCTCATGATGAAATCCTCTAAGCTTATATTGTTGATATTTGCTTTCTATGCCGCTTACCAGCTAATAATGATAGTATGTAATAATTAATAGCCTAGGATAAATGTAATCATATCATCAGTACTAACTGTACTCTTAAAAGTCTCATATTCCCAGTGAATAGTTGATATAGCAAATGGCCCGTATCATCATATAGATGAAGTGAACACTGTATAAGAAACCACACTGATTTGATTTCATCAAAAGACTTTGATTAAATTGCGTAATTCAATAAAATCGACTCCTCTGTATCATTCTTTTCTGTTCCGAGTGGAGCATAAAACTTCGAGCTCTGACGTCTTAGCAGCAGTGGTGGAACTGCTGGCCTCACACCCAACCTTCCTGGTTTATAGGAAGTGCGCCTAGTCTGGAGGCGAACCCGAGCCACGCGCGTGATTGGTGGGCATCCTACCAATGAACCACCGACGTGCTATGATTTCTCCATAAGGTAACAACATTGCGTTATAAAGAAGATTATCTGCATAACTTCCTTTTCATTTTGAGGTATCTCACAAATATTCAGTTTTTAAGCTTATATACATTTCTTTTAAACAAAGTTTACAAAACTGAGCATGATAATTGTTTTTTTTTACAAAATATCACTGTTGCATTCGTTTAACAAATGTTCTCGCAACTAAAATAGGAAATATCAAAGTGGCATCTGCATTAATTTTAACTGGTTCAGCAGCTCCTTTAATTTTTCCCCAGCTTACAGCTTCATCAGGTCTAGCACCAGAATCACTGCCATCAAATTCTTGTCCCGTATTAATAAGAACACAATAATCAGCTCCATTTCGCATTAGGTTAGCATTGAATGTATGATGTTTTATAAGGCCACCACCAAGTACTATCATTCCTGTAGAACGTGCATTAATTGCCAGTAGATTGATATTTCGAATATCTTCAACTAGATCTATCTTTAGACCAGGTGATCGATATGTATGACTGAACAAAACATCACCCAGAGAACCATCTGTCAATCCAGGACAGAATACTGGTATTTTATTCTATCGCATACACACAATAGAAAAATATTAATCTATGAGCATATGAATAGCAATACAATAAAAACTGTATTCAGAATAAGGTGTACACAAAAAGAGGGGAATGATGAGAATATATTTGTTCTTTTAAACATTTACCCGAATTGCTTGGGGTATGCGGAAATCTACAACTAATAGATTGAAGTTGGATGCTTAAGCCACTCAATTATACGTTGTGGAGCCCATCATTTCGCTACTAAATCAGACTACAAACATTTCTTCGCCTATATATATATATATATATATATATATATATATATTATTGCTTCCTTTAATTCCTAGAGGGACATACGGCTTCAGCCAAACGTCTCCATTGCGTTCGGTTCTCCGCCAACGTTTTCATCTGGCTCCAAGTCTGCCCACATGCTTCCATCTCCTCTCCACATAACCTCCATATCACTCTTGCACTGATGACTAACCCGTCCTTTCCCATTCGGATTTCACTCGAGAGGAGGCCTGGTTTGTAGTGGTTTTTGTTTGTTTGTTTTGTTTTCTCAGAGTATGGCCAATTCACCGCCATTTCTTCCTGCAAATTTGTTGCACAGTCGGTTCCTGCTGGGTTGGTTCGTTCATTTCCAGAAATCACTCACTGTTGCTGATATTTTTTTGGTTGGCCATCTTATCTTAAAAGAAATACTGAGCGAAGACAGCTGTTGGTGAAGGTCTGTAGTTTGTTCAAAGTGCCCTTCATGACGCGGCGCCAAGTCTGTGATCCACATAGTAAGTAGCACTGATTTCAGAGTGGAATTGAAAATCCGGGTCTTATTTTTCACGCTATATGCTGTTGATCTCCACACAGACTTGAGAGTAATGAAAGCTTGTCTTGCTTTCCCGATCCTCGCTTTGATATTCTTTGATATCAGTCAGTTGAAACGATGCTTCCCAGGCAGGTGAAGGAGGTTGTTTTTTTTCAGATTTATCCGATTTATGAGGATTGTTGTCTGTGGTTTTTGTTGCTATTGGCCAGGAATCTTCATCGCCTACCTCTGTTTTTTCTATGTTCACCTGAAGTCCTATTTTCTCTGGATACTTTCACTTGCATATCTTCCAGTTTGTGGGAAATCAGACATATATCAATGGCGAAATCCAGATCTTCCAAGTTTTTTGTATTGGTCTATTTTATGCTTGTCTCCTCGTTGCCCGCTGTCTGTCGCATTATCCAGTCTACCGCAATCAGGAAAATCACTGGAGATAGTAGGCAGCCTTGTCTTACTCCCGTCTTCACTTCTTAGAAGGATTCCGTGAGTTTCCCGCTGTGAATTACTTGGCATGTAGCATTATCATACAACTGTTGAATGAGGTGTATAATTGTTGGCGGCACCCCAAAGTAGCGAAGTAGTCTACAAATCACCTCTTGATCGACGCTGTCGAAGTCCTAATGAGAGTTTTCCACAAATTGAGAAGTAGCTAAGGTCTCACACACTTTTCCCCATCTGATTTCCTTTTTTCGGCACTTTTACCACTTTATTATTTATTATTGAGTGTACAACAGACATCGAGAAGAGTATCAAAATGATTATCATTATTCTAATCAAATACTTCACTTTGAATACTTTTTTGTGTAGATAAACGTCAAAGCTGCGTCGATGGTTCAGCGACAGGACGCTCACCGACCACGCACGTTTTCAAGGGTTCGATGCCCGGCTGACGCAATCCTAAACTTCACGAAGCCAGTAGTAAGGTCGGTAAACAGGGAAGATTGGGCGTGAGGTTAGCGATCCCACCCCGTAAAAAAATAAACACCACTGCTACCGAAACTTCAAAGCTCTAGCTTGATGCCATTAACCAACCAATACAAAAGGCCGAATTCGAAGTGATAATAATACGGATCACTGGACAAAGAAATTGCCTTACCTTATAGCACCAATAATAGATTGACTCCTTGTTGTTAATTTCTTTACCTAGACGACTGATTAGTCTAGATGGCGTCCAGTTAATACCCTAAACAACAACAAGAAATGTATGATATTGAAAATAGTTTAAGCATTTCCTTTTTTTCCTGCAGCCTCGAAGCTACTCTACACTAGTGAGCATTCAAGTCAATAAATGAACCACGAGCTTATTAAAATAGTTTTATTTATTGTCAATTCACTAATTAAGCCTAATTAAACTTATCTCTACTAGCGTGTAGACCAAACGACAAAAAAAACCCACCTAAAAACAAAACATTACAACTCACTTTATAAAGCTGATAAATGGGATCTGAATGTAGATTTGTCACAAACCGAGAAAATCACATCAGTTAAGAGAATCAGACAGCACTGAAAAACTGTTTCATCCTAGCTGAGCACGCTTCATTAGTGTGCACCTATGATTTCACCAGGAATGGAATTCGGGACGTTTAGGTTACAGTATCAAGATTGTGTACTATTCAACTATTAGGTAAGAATTCAGTGATTCATCAACGCTAATTTTTCTGTCAATTCGTTACATAGAGCTTATCGCCAGCCAATAGCATCAACGATATGATGGACCCCACCGGCTACAATTTCCCATTAGGATATCATGACACTAGTGATAAGTGAATGACACAATTTAACCATTTTATTATTTCATGTATTTACGTGAATAAAGAGTGCAGGTAATTGATTCATTTCTGTACACTATGATTCGAAACAGTGATTAGATCTCTGCATACTCAATAACTACATTCGCATTAACAAGAGTGTCGACAGTATCTAAGTTATTTTAAAACAGCAACAAATACCAAAAAGTTCTTTTTTCTAAACATACATAACAAAATGCAGTTGCTACAAATAGTCAGAGTTATGGTTTATTGGTCGATGCAGCCTACTTTCAGCTACGACACCGCAGAATTAAACGTCATTGCTTTATGTTCTCAACTTGCAACTAATGCGTCAGAGGGTCGAATTCAGAGCGCTATCCATCGGAGTTTTCGTAACTGGATGGCATCACTAGCCCTCAAAATAACTGTGGCTCACCATCAACTGCATGGACCTGCAGGTGGTTGTTGGGTGACTGTTAAAACGGACAGCCTATCGTTGTTAGCCGAGAAGTCATGATTGATGCATGCAATGACATGATACCCAATATTTTGAAAAGAATAAGAAGTTGTCACCCTGCTGTCGCAGTTAATTCTGACTTTTGTGTCTATATCAATAATGAGGAATATTTTCTGTCTGTTTTCGACATAGAACTTTGCACCAACGTGCAGCAGTTCAAGTCGCCAAACTCCATGTACCACACACAACAAGAGAAGAAAGTAGAAGAAATCCATCATAGAGACAGTAAACAGAGGTGTGAGACAAAGGAATAGTAACAACGAAAAACAAAAGTTTCATTGGAAATCATAAGTCACAAGGACTGGATGCACCTGCATCAGCTATTGAGAACGATTTTTAGCCATATCACCAATTGTTTCCAACCATTGGTTTTTACGGTCCAGAGGACCCCAACCAGGAAGCCAGTCTACACCTTCCTACGTGGCTGGCTTAAACTAACTGTTGTGAGTTCCATTGACTGGTGCCATGTTTTGGTTTGACCGCCGCCAGCCAGCCTGACCCTATGTCAGCGAACATTGCCCGTCGAGGAAGGTGATGACTAGGCAAACATAACACATGTCCTGACCATCTCAGTCGATGTAATTTCACAGCCTCATCGATTGATTTCTCCTCCTTACCTAGAACTCGACGCCTAACCTCAGTATTGCTCACCTTATTATACCACTTCACACGGGAGATAGAACGCAGGCACCTATGATCAAAGTCAGCTAGTCTTTTCATGCCTTCCACACTCAGTGGCCAGGTCTCGCAGCCATAAAGGAGGACGGAGCGGACTGATGAGCAGTACACCCGCCCTTTGGCCGATAGTCGGATATCTCGTCTACGCCAGAGACGGCGTAAACTGGAATATGCTGAGATTTCCTCAGAGATCTATCCCCTGGCACTGGCTGATGGTACTTCCCAAATAAGAGAAGCGGTCAACGTGCTCTGCCACTTCACCTCCTATTTTTAAACTAGGAGTCGGTGTAGTCCAGTCCTGTAACATCATCTTGCATTTGGCGAGAGCGAATAGCATGCCAAACATTTGCAGATTGCAGCTCACGGTGTTTAGAAGACACTGCATTTTTTCAGCATCCTTGCCTAGAAGGACTATATCGTCTGCATATTCTAAGTCCACGAGATTATTCCCCGGTAGCAAGTCAATCACTGAGTCGCTGAAGTGAGTTTGGGTTAAGTGCATTAGTACATCTATGATGAAGTTGAATAGAAAAGGGGATAATGGGCATCCTTGATGGACAACACTAGTCGTCACCAGTTCATATAACAACTCGCCGTAAGCCCTCACCTGGCTGTATGAGTACAAGTTGAGTGCCTTAATCAATGCAATATATTTTCTCGGAATTCCCTTTACAGCCAAGCATCGCAAGAGTACTTCTCGGTCGACAGAATCGAATGGCGCCTTCAGGTCAAGAAATATAATGATTGTTGGACGCCGGTAAGAATCCCTATGTTCTAGAATCTGTCGAAGGGTGAAGATATGATCAATACACCCCTTCCTGGTCTAAAACCTGCCTGGTTCTCTTGTGTTTGTGCCTCCCAAGCACCACTTAGTCTACGAGGAATATTTTCAGGTGTCATGTGTCTAGAGGCGCGCATTCTAGTCAAGTTGGACGACAACAACAACATAAATCAGTAATACTCCGTTCCAACAGTAACATTAACACACATTGAAAAAAAATACCTGAGAGTTTTGTTCTTCTAAAACTTGATCCAGAATGGGAAGAAGCCATTCTTCGAATTCAACATAATTATTATTCGGTACAAGTAGATTGCCAATACGATTTACACCGATTTCTCTTAATTCATGACCACGCCATCGTTCAAAATCTCCAACATACGAAGGAGCTAGACACTTGATTAAATCTTCTTCTACACCACCAGCCGATGTTACTATTACATCAATCTGTATTTGATGAAAACAACAAAAAAAGATTCAAAATTTTCACTTAGATTGCCCATGTCTACATAAGAAGGATGCCGATAAACTGTAAAATAAAACTGCCTCAAAAGAGCGATCATATCTAGCGGACTGAACATTATTATTATTATTGCCTTTTAAGTAGGACATAGGGTTTCAGTGAGACATCTCCAATGTACTCTATTTTCTGTCGTCATTTTTAACTGGTTGTGAAATTGCCCACAAGCTTGCATTTCATCTTCATATGGTCTCCTCTGAATCACCACTGAAGACCTTCCTCAACGTATATATCTAATCAATCTGCATTTCCTTTTGTTAGGTGATAAGTTGTTGGCTGGTATGCTGCTTCCCAGAGTTCCTCGCTGCTTATCCTTTCCGGTCAGCTTTATGGTTTTCACTATCGAGTGAAGGTAGGCGATGATAAAAGTCCACAACAGCCTGTTGGAAATGCTTTCGGTGGTGCGCCATAGAGAAGCACTGAATTGACATTTGTGTTAGGAGATCGGGTTTTTATCCTTAAGTTGAATACTGTAGACCTCCACACTAATTTCAGAGTAATAAATGCCTGTACGACAACGGCACATGTCAAGTGATCCACAACGGAAAACTCATCGAGGCGTTTGGAGTAAACACGAGTCAGGCAAGGGTGCTGGCTTATTATCACCAATGATATTCCTAATTGTGGTGGACTGACTGGATTATGCGTCAGACAGTGGGAAACAAGAAGACAGGAATATTCTGGACCGACGTGAAGAACCTAGAAGACCTGGATTTCGCGCGTGGATGATTTATGTTTGATGTCACACATAATCGAAGACTTACAAGTGAAAACCGACAAACTGGTCGAAGAAGCAGCCGGTGAAGACAGGACTCCAGGTGAACATAGACAAGACGGAGGTTATGAAAATAACCAACAACAGCAACATCCAGTGTCAATCACCATCAACGGGAGGGATTTGAAAGAGGTCACTTCATTCACTTACCTAGGGAGCATTATCTCAACTACAGCCAGTCGGAACGGACGAGGATGTCAAATGGAGCGAGAATCGGGAAGGCGAGGAACACATTCATAAACCTGAAATCAATCCGGAAATCTTCGTCACTCTGCATCAACAAAATTCAGTCGGATTTTCAATACTAACGTAAAATCAGTTCTTCTATACGGATCAGAAACTTGACGGGCGGGTCACAAAGAATATTTCCAAAAGGTTGCAGACCTTTATTAACAACTGTCTTCGCTCTATACTGAAGTGATTTTCAGATGGCCGGAAAGAATCACCAACAAGGAACTATGGGAACAAACAAAGCAAGAACCAATCGTGCAACAAATATGCAGAAGAAAGTGGAGATGGATTGGACACTCACTGAAGAGACCGCTGGGTGACATCGCGCGTCAAGCCCTCGAGTGGAACCCGAAAGGGAAGCGGCGAGTGGGACGTCAGTGCAAGGGTAACTTGGAAGAGATCGTGTGAAGAGAAGTTGAAAGAGTATGGACTAACATGGATGCAGGTGAAAAGTACAGCAGAAGACAGAAGTGGCAAGTGGAGACGTGCAGTTGAAGCCCTATGTTCCACTAGGAACCCAAGGGAGCAATAATAATAATAAATGCCTGTTAATTGGTGGATGGTGACTAGCAGTAGAATACAGGATACACATTTCGTCATATTTGGAACTCGTTAGCTAACTGGAAATACCTGCATTCCCCAGTCAATAAGTGATGATGTTCCCACCGAAGCTCAAACCCAGTGCCCATGGTTTCAAACGCCAAAGCGTTATCCACTAGACCACTCGAGCCACCTCTTGTGTAACGGATCATATTAATTATTTAACTGACGTGTCAACCTGAAACCGAGCACTTCGGTCCGATCAGTCGACGGGAAAATCTAAAATTGAATTAAATAATTAATATGACCCGTTGCACAAGAAGTGGCTTTCGTGGCCCAAGTGGTCTAGTGGATAACACTTTGGCGTTTGAAACTATGGGCACTGGGTTCGAGCCTCGGTGGGAACATCATCATTCACTGACTGGGGAACACAGGTACATCCAGATGACGAGTCCCAAATAGGACGAAATGCGCATCCTGGATTCCACTGCTAGTCACCAACTAACCTCTAATTAAATGCCCAGACATCATCGAAGCATCTGCACAAGAAGCCGACATGTCAACATGAAACCGAGCACTTCAGTGCAATCAATCAACGGGAAAATCTAAAATTCAATTAACAAATGCCTATCTTGATTTTCCTATCTTTATCCATGCCGTCTGTAGATGAAACGATGCAGAGCAGGCAACTGAAAGATACAACATCCTTTAAAATACCTTCTATTGGTCACGACCAGTGTTAACTGTTGATTTGGTATCTCCATTACCACAGTTTTCTCTATGTTCACCAGAAATCCAGCCTTCGTTAGTCTAATTTTTATCTTGTAGGCTTTCAACATTCTGTACCTTAGATATCTGATATTCTGATACTAGTCTACGATGAGTAGAAGAATTCTGTCTGATAGCCACAGACTCTTTTAATAGGTTCACAGAAACCAACACCACAAAAGAAACTATGTTTGAATCATTTTAAACAATAATGGTAATCTCTTATGATTATTATTATTATTGTTGCAAAACAAGTTCTGATCTTTTCATTATTTCTTGTGGTTATAAGTATTATCATTTTTATCGTATATTCAACCTCTGTATTAATTACATGTATGCCAAAGATCAAGCACATAAGACAAACGACTGACCTCGTAAAAATACATTCATTCTATATCGGATTTATTGGAAACCTTATACAGATTGATTTGTTTCGTATTTATGAAATACGCAAAGAGGTAAACATGTTTGATGAATCTGTGACCTTGTTCAAAAGTTCTACCGTTCAATATTTTATCAAATTATCTTATAGTCGTGATCACTGTAATTGCCGTCTCGTTGGTAATAATAATAACCAATAATAACATCTTTATTTTGGACAGTATTTATAAAGTGTACAGAATTTTCAAATTATGATATTTTGCATGATATTTTCCCTTCGGACAATATCTTCAAATAAAATATTAATTGACAGTATATCCTTCCTGTGACACAATAGTCTGTCTTTGAGCTGCAGCACAAACTATTCCATTATGAGATATATCTGCTTTGTCTCCTTCAAAAAATCCTCAATATCTGATTGAAAGCCAATTGTAAAATGTTCAGAAGTACATTTTGAGACCCAAAGACATAACTGAAGAACAGTTATCTCATATATTGGAACACGTTGCCACCCACAATCAGGCCTTTCCTCAAGTTAAGTAAGAACTTGTGAATCAAAAGTTTGTAAATATTTTAAATACACACAAAAGTAGATAATACCATTAGAGGTCATATCTTGATTTATTAAAACAAACTGAACGAGAGAAAATATATGCAATGGAGAGATGGAATATTTTGGCAGCCCCCAAGGTTTTAAGTAGGCTGCTAACCGAAGCGGTAGAACAAATGAACTTAAGAAAATTCTCTCATTGTTCAATGAGAGTGTAAATACACACAACAAACTATAATTGATAGTAATCTTTTTCTAAACACACCTACTTCAAAAATAAAAGAATTCCCTTCACTATTCAAGAAGAAACCTGGCGTACATTCGACAGGGGGTCACGCGCACAAAACTTTCCATAAGTATACTTTGATAGAAAGTTTCCCCCAAAAACAAGTTTATTTGTCTGCATCAGCTATTCTTGTTTGGTATTCAAAATATCTGTGTAATACTCGCTAATTTATTAACCTTACACAGTTAATAAAAACTTCTACTTTTCAAAAGGTCTTCATATCATATGACTTATCAGCCAGGTTTATTCATTGACTTTAAGATGTAGCTTGAAACTTGTGTTATGATATTTAACGGAAAAAAAAGGCATTCAGTCTTTCACTTTCGCAGTTGATTTTATTATTTTATTGAATGTTATATCTTTGAAGTTTCTTTCAAATAAGTTTTAAGTAACAGGTCAAATGTTAGACAATCCAAAAATAAACAAAAATTGTACAAAAGAAATTGCACAACCTGGGCACTGTGATAGAGTATAACTCCATTATGGATAAAATTTTTATTTTGATAAAATCATGCGCTCATAACTCATTTTTAACGGATTTTTTGCCGTCAGCAAGAAAAGGTGTGCTCGTTTCTGTTTCTTCTTGGTTTTGTAAATCCAGTACTTCTTTTTTCCACATATCTCCACCATAATGTTGGAGTAGGGTTAAATGTATTTAGAGCAACAACTTATTTATTTTACTATAAAAACACTCGTCTTATTTCCCATCTGATTGTATTTTTGACTGATAACACTCATATTATTATTTCCGAATGTACTTTATCTTATATTGTCTTTATTCAAATGTCTAATCATCAATTTTTACTCATGTATATAAATGAAGAAAGAAACTTATGTTTGTGCCTCGATATGATTATGAGCAGTAATAATTTGTGCTCGAAACGTCGTCATCAGTAAATATTACTGTGCAACACTTGAAGCCCTATATTCCACCCTGAATAGAATGAGTGGAAAAAGAAGTATTGGATTTACAAAACCAAGAAGAAACAGAAACGAGCACACCTTTTCTTTCCGACGGCAAAAGATCCGTTAAAAATGAGTTATGAGTGTGTGATTTTATCAAAACCATTGAGATATATATATGTTCTGCGAGTCAACAAGGTCATTTCACCTCATATTCATCACGTACTATTAAATAATCACAAAGTTCATGTTTGTGAGTGCAACAAATCTAACTCCACTTATCATACTTTAGATCATTCAGGTGAGTATTAATTTTGTGTATGAAAAAATAGCACAACCAAACTATCGACCTCATCTCCCCTCAGGACGTGCTTAGAATATGAAAGGCTGAGTGAAAGTCAAATAAAGTATAAAAGCTTTATTGAATCTTACCATATTATGTTCAGCTAAAAAGCGTATAACCTCTCGAATACCCGAGCTCACCATATTTGATGTATATGCCAAAAATATAGTACATCCAAACAGAGGTCGTTTCAAGGGATGAAAGTCTTGTAGTGTTTGTGCTAATTCGATTTCCTCTTTTGAAGTAGGCTGAAGATTTCGTCTGTTAATCTGTATTAAAGGATAAGGATAAAATATAAAAGCTTCATGTATTCATCAGAAACTGACGTAGAAGAAATTTGAATGTCAGACTAGTGAACAACTTAAAGGCGCAAATAAATTAAAGTATTTCTTCATCTGAAAGTGGAGATAACAGCGGTAAGCGTATTTGTCGAAGAAAACTCCACTTGGTACTATTACATCTTCGACTAACTATCAAGCTATGTAAATAATACTTACACAAAACAACCTAGTCAGTTTGTAACGGTAAAAGAAGACGAGTTGGTATCTCTATATAGTCAGATTATGTACACCTTATCTTCAATGCACCATTTACACAGATCTTTCGTATTGTGCTACTTCTGGCAATCATTTTATGTTCCTTTCATGTCTCCCGTGTATCTCTGCAACACTGTACCATTTGCCTTCTCTGACATCACATCTGTTTCCCTGCTATTTGATGTTTTTATTCCGATGAGCATATCTTTGTATATATACTACTGACAAATCTTATCAGTAGCACGCCACACTCGTTCCCCTATCAAATAGTTTCTAACGAAGCCGTTACGGCCTTCTTGGTTCTACCACCTTCCTGTTATATCTTGATCCCAGCTTCCTTCTCCCATTGAATCTATTTCTACAGTTAACTGGTGTTAACCCGTTTCTGTTTATCTCCTCTTTCGATAGTATAAACGGGACCACGTCTCTCAGTGACAGTGTATGGCCCTTCCCACTTCGAGAGGAGTTTCCGTGAACCTGATAATTCTTATCAGTAGCCAGCCACAAGTAATCTACACAGATTAAACTAAACGGGAACTTTGCCGCAACTAAATGTCAGCGGAAAAGTGGAAAGGAAATATTGCCTAACAACCACTTATATTTCCATGCATTTGATGAGCTGTACCTATTATTTAAGACCTAATAATACCTAACCATGTGGAGTGAGGTCCGGACCCGTGACCCAATGGTCAATAATCGACAGACTAGACCAATGAGCCACTGCATCCAAATAAATGTCAATACTCAGATTAACAGTTCAATGTATTTTTTTAAAACTACTGTATTCAAGAAATTCGTTTTGAATTTCAGGAACAGGGATACTTTGATTATTATAATACGGAATTTCTGTTAAAATTTACAGGTTGAGAAAACCACATATATTTTTAGAAATAATAGAAGCAACTATTTTGGCCATATTATTATTATTATATCCTTTAATTCCTAGAGGAACATAGGGCTTCAGCTGCGCGTCTCTATTACCTTCGGTTTTCTGCCAACTTTTTCACCTCGCTCCAAGTCTGCCCACATGCTTCCATCTCCTCTTCACATGACCTCCTCCAAGTTACCCTTGGACGACCAACCAGTTGCTTCCCTTTCGGGTTCCGCTCGAGGGCTTGTTTAGTGATGTCACTTGATAAGCCCTCGTAACCAAATAATATTTCATTGTAGGAGATGTATATGACTACTTTCTTGAATAAAAATTATCACATACTTTTTCATAAGCCCAATACAATCCTACAAGAGGTCGATCGCGAACCCAGATAGCCTAGTGGTAAGGTCTCTTACTACAGCACTGGGTGATGCGGGTTCGAATCCCAGAAGGAACATGAGTTCCTTCAAGATGCGGATACTCCTTGCTGACGAGTGCAAACCAGCACGAAATGTAAGTCCAGGGCTTCCTGCCGATTGCCTTTAACTATCTAATATTATTAATAAGTCTGTTAGTACAAGCTCATATTCTGTCATACCATAACGTATACAAATTTTATTGATTTCGCTTTTCATTGACTAGATTAAAAAGTGTAAAACTTCGATTCCTTCGAGATTTAACTTAGTTACAAGTCTGGTTTTACCTATGAAACGTACAATAATGAGATTACGAAATTTGACGGTGCTTCAACTTGATGTTTCCTAGGAAGGCGATGAAAGCTTCGCAATTAAACCATCTAGTTCAGAGGACACAACTACAGCAGAATGAAAACTTCTATGCACAATGCGACAACTATCGCTAGAGGATGATAGGAATTAATGCCTGACACAATTTCATGTCTACAAATACCACATTAATTGCTATTATTGTCCTTTTCTATGATTCAACAATCCACTTCTGTTTCACTCGTATTACCAATAAACTCATCGTTAGATCCAAATTGTATGATTATCCTAATTCAAGTTACGTCCAGTAACTGCAATAACTGTGCGTCGGTAGCACAGCGGTAGAATGCGAGCCAACCACGCTTCATGTGGTCCGGCATTCTATCCCCGGCCGACGCAATCCTTTACCTCGCCAATCCAGTAACAAAACTGGTTGGACATGAGGCTAGTGACCCTATCCCGTAAAAAATAAACACCACTGCTACCGAAACTTCAAGTCTCCAGCCTGAAGCCTTATGTCCTATTGGGGACGTAAAGGAATAAGAAAAAAACTGCAATAACAGAAGTCCAACCATATTTCTTCTCAAGTGAATGTTTATTACGTCACGCTAGTTTAGGCAGTTTATTATATATTCGCTATCATACTTACATAAATAAGACTCAGGAGATACATTTGTCCTCTGTCTACTTTAAACAGCCTTTTATTTTTATGCACTACAACTTCAATTAAAGCACTTTTTCACACTTAATTATGATTCAAGCTAAGTTATCCTTTGCTTGAATCACAAAAATAAAAACTCAGAATATTTAGATGGCGAGAGAGAGAGAAATGTGTATACTCAAAGTCAAAAACTGACCGACAATTCTCCAAGATGGCCAGTTATTAGTTAACAAGATGAGGCTGATGCAAACAGAAAGTCATTAAAACCAGATAAATAAAGTTGTGAACTTAAATTATGAAGTTACGATTAATTAGAAGATTAGACAATATTTCTCCCGGCCGACAAGTGCTATCTTGCCGTGGTGGTCGGGCTTGAATACCGCTGTGACCCAATAAGCTAAACTGGCTGGGACTCATGTCCTTGCAGGTCCTACCATGTCAGGAAGGTTGTTTGGATAGGGGTTAGACTAAAAGCCGTCTGTGTGGGACATGGAAGGTCCGCACCATGTACGAGATTGGCAAAGCTGCCCAGATCGCAAACGAGATGAAAAGATACGGAATCCAAGTACTGGAAATATGTGAAAGCAGATGGAACGGGAATGGGCTCACCAAATTGTCAATGGGTGAGTCAGTGATCTACTGACTACTACTAACTACGTGGAGGTCAACAGTACTCAGCATCAAAAATAAGATCCGGATTTTCAACTCCATTGTGAAGTCAGTCCTACTTACTACACGGATCAGAGACTTGGCCAGCGCGTCATAAAGAGCATCTCAAACAAACTTCAGAACTTCACTAACAGTTGTCTTTGCTCAATACTCAAGATCAGATGGTCAGCCAGAAAAGATCAGCAACAAAGATCTCTGGGAGCGAACCAACCAGGGACCGATTGTGAAACAAATAGGCAGGAAGAAATGAAGATGGATTGGCCATACTCTGAGAAAACAAACCATCAAGTGACATCACTAGACAAGCTATTGTTCGAGTGGAACCCAAAATGGAAACAGCGAGTTGGTCGTCCAAGGGTAACTTGGAGAAGGTCATGTGAAGAGGAGATGAAAGCATGTGGGCAGACTTGGAGCGAGGTGAAAAAGTTGGCAGAAAACCGAAGGTAATAGAGACGCGCAGCTGAAGCCCTATGTTCCTCTAGGAATTAAAGGATATAATAATAATAAATAAAAGCAGTTACCATGGGGTGCATGGGCTCCAGTATCCAATCGGATCAAATGGCGTATGAACCCATATGGGTCACCGGCAACCATGGGAATGCACGTCCTGACGCTGTTCCGATGCCTTTCAGACTAGACTCCAAGTCGAAGGCTCGTGGGTTGGTCCCTTAAGAAAATCACCTGCTTCGGTCTGGGTGCCCGAGCAGTATGTCAACCCTCACACAAGTCTGGCGTATCTTTCTTGGTGCCATATTGTACCAAGTTTTTTTCCGCGTTTAAATAAGTAAATGAATAAGACAATATTTCTAAAAAAAAAAATAAACTATCGTTTCAGAAACTTTTTTCACCAAAGAAGGTAACTGCGACTTGATCGTATCATAGTTCTTAAACGATACATGAATTATTCTCCAACTAATAAAACACGTGCGCGTTTGTTGAGCTTTATATATGTCAGACAGCTGACTACATTTTGCACATATGATAACTTACCATTGCATTTAAAACATGCTCAGCCTTTGCAAAATGGGTTGCTTGAAACCCGATACATTCAAAAGAAGAAAACAAAGCGTCATAATCCAAACCAGAATTGAAATCATAACCCTTTACTTGAAGGTGAACACCTTCTGGTAAACTTGTACTTGGTTTTAGGACAGCATCTACAAAACCTGGAGGTCGATCGCCAGATATTGAATTCTCGTGCTGATTATTTGCCTAACAAAGTAGCACAGGGAAAGGACTATGAAGTTATGTGCAAGTTATATAAGATAAAGTGAAACATCTAATTTGAAAACCGAGTTCTAAATTAGGAAAGTCAATAATGGACAAGCATAAGTTTACTGTATCAAATACATGGTACAATAATAACCTTTAGAAAAATATGATCATAAAGGTGAAAAATATTACAAACACCCACGGCGATTACTTTCATCCGCTTATTGTAGTCGTAAAAATGAAAATAAGTGAGTTTTTCTTCGATTGCGAAAGCAGTGAAGACCTTACGTGTTCACCATGTGTGATTGAGGTTACAAAGGATACCTCCAATCTGAAACGAGGTAAAGCAGCAGGATTCGGTGGAACGATTCCAGGTTTTTAAGGACGGTGGTGACAAACTTTTGTTCAAATCACATATGATATTACCGAATGATTGAGAATTACACTGGTGTAAAACATTGATTATCCCAGTTTATAAGAAGAAAGAAAAGTCTTTCTATGATAATCATACGGCATAAGATTGACTAATGTGGCATCTAAAGTTTAAAGCCCAATAATCATACATAGATAAAGTAGTGCTGGTGAAAAGCAAACGTGAGGAAATCAGGCAGGCCCTAGGCCAAGAAGAGGGTGCACTGATCATACCTCCACCCTTCGACAACTTCTGAGATCAGTCCATGATGGCTCTAACAGTTAGAGTCACGCGGGGGGCATAGGCTTCATGTTTAGGGTCCTCGGAATGCTAAGAACCAATGTCTGGGGACGATTGGGGATATGGCTCAAAATGGTTCTCAATGGTGCAGATATATTCACTCGGTGATTTCCCACATTTATTAAACCCTAAAGTTTTTCCATGTTTCTATTCCTTGTCGTCGCATTTCTGCTCAATATAATTCTTTAAATCTCCTTTTCCGCTTTTTTCTCTGTCTCTGTAGCAACTTTAACTGTTGCAGAGTTCTGCGTTGAGACCGGTCAGTTAGTCAATTGGACTTAGAAAATAAATTATCCAACCAGAAGAACCGTCATGAAGCTGTTCCAGCGCTCAAATCTTTCGTAGATTCTAATTCATCTGTTAGCAAAATAATAAATATCTCATTAGATCAGACAAACAGCACCCAGTTATCGTGGAACACCACCAGTAATAAAACAGCATTCAAACAGACGAGAATATGCAAACTCGTTATATGAAGCTAAACGTTATTCATTGCAGTCTTCAGGAATCGTAAGTGGCTTTCACAGTAGTTTGGACTGAGTGACCAACTTGAATACTAAAACATTAACAGTTGTGACAGGCTGAAGGTACGAAAGTAAAGATCCCCATTTGTATTATAAAATCTTCATTTACATTTTCAGACCGTGGTTTTCGGTAAGGAAGAAACTCTTTGCGGGAAACACTCGGTTGACTTCTACAGACTTCAGTTCTCTGTGAACTGTTGTTAGTGCACAGAATTTACACATAACCTCAGGAGTTTGGAAATTAATTCGAAGAAAAGTGCGATAATGCACTTAGATCAAAGGTCTTACACGTCGTACTCCCTCGGGGACACAAAACCGCCAGATGTTAGGGGACAAAAGGACTCAAGAATTACAGTAAGCCATGACTTAAGAACAACGGCAAACTGTAATAGAACCACAAATAAGAATTTTCTGATGCTATGGGTACTTCGAAGGGCTTTCAAACGATTAGACGAAGGTATCTTCCAAGTACTCTATGAAACATATGTCAGAACTCATCTGGAATACAGTATACAAGCGGTGAGTCCACGCTTTGAAAAGGATGTTCATATCCTGGAAAGAGTACAGAGGTCAGGAACCAAATTACTAAGCGATATTTCACATCTTCCTTATGATAAGAGGACGGAGCACTTAAATTCTCTCGTCATACCGAAGAAGGATAGGCGACTTAGTTTTGGCTTACGAGGTCACCACAAGGTGTTCAAACCGAAGTCGAACAAAATACGTGTGGAATTTAGATTCTCTTACAAACTGGTCAACGACTGGTGTTTCTTACCTGATTCAGAAGTAACATCTCTATCGGTGAATGCTTTCAAATAGAAACTAGATCTCTGCGGAGATATATATCTCAAGGACTAACACAAGCAACAAGAGCCTACCATCCTTCTAGACCGAATCTGAATAATTTCATATCCCTTTAAATGCAGGCTTCATGACTTACAACGAAAACATAAATCATCTAAATCAAACTCTGCATATATTTCATGTAGATATGAAGTGTCAACGCAATATGAAAAACTGCATAGAAATATATAAATTGCTTGTTTATGAGCATATATATACTATAGTATTTTGAATAGAATCAGTCTATAGGGGCAACAGTAAAGAACAGACACCATTTTTAATAAATAGACTAGTTTATTAAACACGAAATTCTAATGGACTACTTACCTCCATGTGCAGGAGACAGGACCACGATGTGTATGGCCGAAGTGTTGACCTAGAAAATTTGATATGTTGTTCAAGGCTGCAATAAGCCTTCCAATATTCAACGTAATAAATATTCAATTTACCAGCTGATGTGAACTGAATGGAATTCTTTTAGGATGATTTACGAAGCCAGAAATAGCTTGAAGTTAAAAATAAGACAGGCAAAATGTTACTCGTGCGTTTCTGTTTCTTGTGTATATGAAGTTTAACATCTGTAGCGGTAAATAATTCCCCAAAATTATTGACCACAGCAATCATCACTGAACATTGGATGCTGACCCTCACTGTTTAAGTCAACTTGTTTAGCTGAAGGCTTCCGGTCAACCATCCATGTCACTTGGTACTCCGTCGTGTCACGTTCGTGCACGATCACTAGCCAGCTAAGCACTCATCTCAGTCTGCGATTTGGTCCCGAAATATATCTCGTAGTTTGGACGATCAAATCTGGTCTTCTGCATTGCGTTTGGTCTACGAGAAACGAATACTATAGAAGTTGTTGGTATTAGATCTTGCGTTAGTATACTCCATACAATCCACGAACGTCGATACCGTAAGCCTCTAAACATTGCTATAGCTTGTAGTTCGTATTAAATCTGCATCTGTTCGGTCTAATTAGTCGCCCTTCAGTTCACATGAATTTGTGGAGAGTAAACTAATGGTTGATTTTGGGAATAAAGAGGTGGCCAGCGAAAAAAGTACTTAAGAGACGAATGTTGGGTGGGAAAAAAGGTAAGAAAAAATTATTAACGACAAAAACAGGAATACAGATAAGGAGGATACACAGATAAAGTAGCTGATTGGGCAGAGTAATGGAGAGATCCTTAGGATTGAGAGTGGTTAGAGTCTACCTCTGGATCTGATATAGAAATAGCTTTTCTGGTAGTGCATCCTACCGTCTACCGCGTTCATATTATACTTATAGCGGTGTAAAATAGGCTGAAGCCATAGCAGTAATGCAATCATATCCGGTATTCTAGATTGAACATTGTTTCAAGATCTGAGTGAATGCTTTTGCTAATAAGTATGGAAGTTTGATCACTGATCAGCCATCTGTCGTTTTGTCATCATCCTAATGTCCTCACTAATAAAGTAATCCCTGAATCATCTCTGTCAACCTGCTTCACGTTTCAGCAACTCTACGTCACGCTAGTGAGCTTATGAATGCCAAGCATAAGTTATCACGTTTCAATTATTTTGCTATAGCCTAATATTCGAGTAGAAGAATATATCAGGCCACAATTTGAGGGAACTGGTTTGCAGTCGCACAGACTCAGTTTTCTCGCCTAGTATTCCGATCACTTCGTCCTACCAGGTAGACTCACTTAGCCTTCGTCCTTTTCACCAGGCACACTAGTACCCAATTTCCTTTATTCTCTGACTTGTAGTAACGCTCTCACTGTGTTTATTCTGAACTACTGAGTAGTTCCGGAGTTATAAGAAAAACATAATAGTATATGGGAACCAGGGATACCAGTGGTGTAACACAAATACTTAATATATTAGGTTAGTCCACTCAAGTTCATAACAACTTCATTAAAGTCTGAATCATTTCAGTGAACTGGGTGTATCTCATTCGCCAAATTTTTCAAACGTACTTTGAAACGCAGTGTCTTGTGTTCGTTCAAACTTCTTTCACAGAAAATTGGAATACGGTATTATTACTATCATTGCTCAATTTACTTAAATATTATCAATACTACGGAAAAGTATGGCAAAATAGTATGTTCATCAGTCAAGATTCAGAATTTCTTGTTCAAGGAAATAAAAGATTCTGAGACATAAAGATGATATGGAAAACTCATTTCGGTATAAAAATGACAGCTCTACTATAATCAGTCTAATAATATATCATCATATCACTATTTTTCTTCTGGTCCTGACCATGAGGAAGTAACGAGTGGCAACTTGTGATGGGTACCTATGAAGCTCTTTGATCGACTTTGAGCTCGCTTTTTCTTCCACCTCAGCCAAAAGCAGAGCTCATAATTGTTGTGTGGTTATTTATCCTTCTAGACCTAAGCGTTGACCGCACTACCTGCTGACTGCTTCGCCTCGCCTGCTTTACCTTGGTGACTAAGTTCCCTCCAAAGCCGCCATGAATAATATAGGAAGTAAAAACCGCCTAAATCTCCTGCAGGATGCAAATGATGAGTGAATATGCAGAGGTTAATAATTTCCCAGTATCATTAGTCTTCATTTTTCATCATTCAACGGAGGGCGTTCATCTTCAATATTTAAGTTGACTAGTCAGGCTAAAAGTAAAGCAAAACGCATACTCGCATACTGTGGTGTTACGTCCGGCTGTTCGTAATTATTCTCACCTAGATGAGCAATCAGCATCGCTCTAAGTTCGTAATCCCAAAACATATCCACATTAGGGACTACCTAGTTTAAGCAGAACAGATACTTTAAAGAATACCTGGATATACTCTCACTTTCACATGCATTTTGATCTTCTAAAATATTTGTCGCTAGGTATTATTATGCATCTAATTTAAACAGTGCGATAGATATAACACTGTGCAGAAACTCAATGAAACAGCTCAACTCAACACTTGAACTGATTGTAGTGATCCTATAACCCCTTGAGATAAAACCAACAGCGGGAGGAAGTTCAAGCAATAACTGCGCTGCTTTGTTCATTCTAATGAGAGAGAGATGGCAACGAAAACGAGATTAATTTGTTTCGGAATTCGCTCAAATGCTGGTCACACGCAATGGTGTCCCGAAAATTATACAGTTCTCAATCGGCATCCATCAACACAGACAAAGAAATCAATCGCCGAGGGCAAAACGACTGACGCCCCATAGATTATATGACTTCTGTTGATTTCCTACAACTGTATCTTGGTAGGTTTTCGGGCTGCGCACGACATCGTTCACCAAGATGTACTGGAGAATGTGATTAGATCATCGTGGTCAGGAAGAAAATGGAAAGACCTCGTAATCAGTACATTACCTTTCTCCTGATCTGTCTGTCTGTTTTCGACATAGAACTTTGCGCCGATGTGCGGCAGCTCAAGTCGCCACACTCCACGTAATACACAAAGCAATAGAAAAAGGTAGAAGAAATAGAGACAGTAAGCAGAGGTGTGAGACAAAGGAAGAGTAGTAACGAAGAACAAAACAGTTTCATTGGAAATCAGAAGTCACAAGGAGTGGATGCATCTGCGCCATTGAGAATGATTTGAGCCATATCACCAATTGTTTCCAACCATCGATTTTACCGTCACGAGGACACCAACCAGTCAGGAAGTCTACACCTTCCTACGTGGCTTAGACTAACTGTTGTAGATTTCATTGACTGGTGCCATGTTTTGTTTGACCGCCGCTAGCTTTTTCCAGCCTGACCCTATATCCGCTAACATTGCTCATGATAGTGTGCTCTAGCCTGCTATATGGAAAATCTACTCGAATAATTGAGCTAAAAGTAATAATAACAACTTAAGGGTATCATTTGTAACTAATATTCACAGTATCAAGAAGTCTGATATTAAGTTACCTGCCAACAGTGTGCCTTAGGTTATCCATACAGGTTGCTTGCAGAGAGAGACTCCTAACTTGAGACCCTACTTTCCAGAATTCAACAGTCTTCTCGATTTCCAGGGTAACCGAGAGTCTCCAGAGTACATTTATATTTCAGACTGCCTTCGTCTCCTAACGCATGACTAGTACAACTGTCAGCTATTCCACAAAGTATCACATACAGGTCTGCAAGGAAAACCAAATGAAGTCAAGTTGTCACGGATAACCGTGGAGAACAGTATGAACTGGGAAGTCATGCGACTAAGCTTTGTGAAAATCCTGCAGTCCTCAGAAAGACGGCAGGTAGACAGCGAAGAGCGTTTAACTGGCCTGCAGCTACAACCAAATTGTTCAGCACTCAACATCTACCTGAGTGGGATGCAGACATCGGTCCACCATGTGTGATTGAGGTTACAAAGGATACCTCCAATCTGAAACGAGGTAAAGCAGCAGGATTCGGTGGAACGATTCCAGGTTTTTAAGGACGGTGGTGACAAACTTTTGTTCAAATCACATATGATTTAACCGAATGATTGAGAATTACACTGGTGTAAAACATTGATTATCCCAGTTTATAAGAAGAAAGAAAAGTCTTTCTATGATAATCATACGGCATAAGATTGACTAATGTGGCATCTAAAGTTTAAAGCCCAATAATCATACATAGATAAAGTAGTGCTGGTGAAAAGCAAACGTGAGGAAATCAGGCAGGCCCTAGGCCAAGAAGAGGGTGCACTGATCATATCTCCACCCTTCGACAACTTCTGAGATCAGTCCATGATGGCTCTAACAGTTAGAGTCACGCGGGGGGCATAGGCTTCATGTTTAGGGTCCTCGGAATGCTAAGAACCAATGTCTGGGGACGATTGGGGATATGGCTCAAAATGGTTCTCAATGGTGCAGATATATTCACTCGGTGATTTCCCACATTTATTAAACCCTAAAGTTTTTCCATGTTTCTATTCCTTTTCCGTCGCATTTCTGCTCAATATAATTCTTTAAATCTCCTTTTCCGCTTTTTTCTCTGTCTCTGTAGCAACTTTAACTGTTGCAGAGTTCTGCGTTGAGACCGGTCAGTTAGTCAATTGGACTTAGAAAATAAATTATCCAACCAGAAGAACCGTCATGAAGCTGTTCCAGCGCTCAAATCTTTCGTAGATTCTAATTCATCTGTTAGCAAGATAATAAATATCTCATTAGATCAGACAAACAGCACCCAGTTATCGTGGAACACCACCAGTAATAAAACAGCATTCAAACAGACGAGAATATGCAAACTCGTTATATGAAGCTAAACGTTATTCATTGCAGTCTTCAGGAATCGTAAGTGGCTTTCACAGTAGTTTGGACTGAGTGACCAACTTGAATACTAAAACATTAACAGTTGTGACAGGCTGAAGGTACGAAAGTAAAGATCCCCATTTGTATTATAAAATCTTCATTTACATTTTCAGACCGTGGTTTTCGGTAAGGAAGAAACTCTTTGCGGGAAACACTCGGTTGACTTCTACAGACTTCAGTTCTCTGTGAACTGTTGTTAGTGCACAGAATTTACACATAACCTCAGGAGTTTGGAAATTAATTCGAAGAAAAGTGCGATAATGCACTTAGATCAAAGGTCTTACACGTCGTACTCCCTCGGGGACACAAAACCGCCAGGTGTTAGGGGACAAAAGGACTCAAGAATTATAGTAAGCCATGACTTAAGAACAACGGCAAACTGTAATAGAACCACAAATAAGAATTTTCTGATGCTATGGGTACTTCGAAGGACTTTCAAACGATTAGACGAAGGTATCTTCCAAGTACTCTATGAAACATATGTCAGAACTCATCTGGAATACAGTATACAAGCGGTGAGTCCACGCTTTGAAAAGGATGTTCATATCCTGGAAAGAGTACAGAGGTCAGGAACCAAATTACTAAGCGATATTTCACATCTTCCTTATGATAAGAGGACGGAGTACTTAAATTTCTTCCCATCGTCATACCGAAGAAGGATAGGCGACTTAGTTTTGGCTTACGAGGTCACCACAAGGTGTTCAAACCGAAGTCGAACAAAATACGTGTGGAATTTAGATTCTCTTACAAACTGGTCAACGACTGGTGTTTCTTACCTGATTCAGAAGTAACATCTCTATCGGTGAATGCTTTCAAATAGAAACTAGATCTCTGCGGAGATATATATCTCAAGGACTAACACAAGCAACAAGAGCCTACCATCCTTCTAGACCGAATCTGAATAATTTCATATCCCTTTAAATGCAGGCTTCATGACTTACAACGAAAACATAAATCATCTAAATCAAACTCTGCATATATTTCATGTAGATATGAAGTGTCAACGCAATATGAAAAACTGCATAGAAATATATAAATTGCTTGTTTATGAGCATATATATACTATAGTATTTTGAATAGAATCAGTCTATAGGGGCAACAGTAAAGAACAGACACCATTTTTAATAAATAGACTAGTTTATTAAACAAGAAATTCTAATGGACTACTTACCTCCATGTGCAGGAGACAGGACCACGATGTGTAGGGCCGAAGTGTTGACCTAGAAAATTTGATATGTAGTTCAAGGCTGTAATAAGCCTTCCAGTATTCAACGTAATAAATATTCAATTTACCAGCTGATGTGAACTTAATGGAATTCTTTTAGGATGATGCTACGAAGCCAGAAATAGCTTGAAGTTAAAAATAAGACAGGCAAAATGTTACTCGTGCGTTTCTGTTTCTTGTGTATATGAAGTTTAACATCTGTAGCGGTAAATAATTCCCCAAAATTATTGACCACAGCAATCATCACTGAACATTGGATGCTGACCCTCACTGTTTAAGTCAACTTGTTTAGCTGAATGCTTCCGGTCAACCATCCATGTCACTTGGTACTCCGTCGTGTCACGTTCGTGCACGATCACTAGCCAGCTAAGCACTCATCTCAGTCTGCGATTTGGTCCCGAAATATATCTCGTAGTTTGGACGATCAAATCTGGTCTTCTGCATTGCGTTTGGTCTACGAGAAACGAATAATATAGAAGTTGTTGGTATTAGATCTTGCGTCAGTATACTCCGTACAATCCACGAACGTCGATACCGTAAGCCTCTAAACATTGCTATAGCTTGTAGTTCGTATTAAATCTGCATCTGTTCGGTCGAATTAGTCGCCCTTCAGTTCACATGAATTTGTGGAGAGTAAACTAATGGTTGATTTTGGGAATAAAGAGGTGGCCAGCGAAAAAAGTACTTAAGAGACGAATGTTGGGTGGGAAAAAAGGTAAGAAAAAATTATCAACGACAAAAACAGGAATACAGATAAGGAGGATACACAGATAAAGTAGCTGATTGGGCAGAGTAATGGAGAGATCCTTAGGATTGAGAGTGGTTAGAGTCTACCTCTGGATCTGATATAGAAATAGCTTTTCTGGTAGTGCATCCTACCGTCTACCGCGTTCATATTATACTTATAGCGGTGTAAAATAGGCTGAAGCCATAGCAGTAATGCAATCATATCCGGTATTCTAGATTGAACATTGTTTCAAGATCTGAGTGAATGCTTTTGCTAATATGTATGGAAGTTTGATCACTGATCAGCCATCTGTCGTTTTGTCATCATCCTAATGTCCTCACTAATAAAGTAATCCCTGAATCATCTCTGTCAACCTGCTTCACGTTTCAGCAACTCTACGTCACGCTAGTGAGCTTATGAATGCCAAGCATAAGTTATCACGTTTCAATTATTTTGCTATAGCCTAATATTCGAGTAGAAGAATATATCTGGCCACAATTTGAGGGAACTGGTTTGCAGTCGCACAGACTCAGTTTTCTCGCCTAGTATTCCGATCACTTCGTCCTACCAGGTAGACTCACTTAGCCTTCGTCCTTTTCACCAGGCACACTAGTACCCAATTTCCTTTATTCTCTGACTTGTAGTAACGCTCTCACTGTGTTTATTCTGAACTACTGAGTAGTTCCGGAGTTATAAGAAAAACATAATAGTATATGGGAACCAGGGATACCAGTGGTGTAACACAAATACTTAATATATTAGGTCAGTCCACTCAAGTTCATAACAACTTCATTAAAGTCTGAATCATTTCAGTGAACTGGGTGTATCTCATTCGCCAAATTTTTCAAACGTACTTTGAAACGCAGTGTCTTGTGTTCGTTCAAACTTCTTTCACAGAAAATTGGAATACGGTATTATTACTATCATTGCTCAATTTACTTAAATATTATCAATACTACGGAAAAGTATGGCAAAATAGTATGTTCATCAGTCAAGATTCAGAATTTCTTGTTCAAGGAAATAAAAGATTCTGAGACATAAAGATGATATGGAAAACTCATTTCGGTATAAAAATGACAGCTCTACTATAATCAGTCTAATAATATATCATCATATCACTATTTTTCTTCTGGTCCTGACCATGAGGAAGTAACGAGTGGCAACTTGTGATGGGTACCTATGAAGCTCTTTGATCGACTTTGAGCTCGCTTTTTCTTCCACCTCAGCCAAAAGCAGAGCTCATAATTGTTGTGTGGTTATTTATCCTTCTAGACCTAAGCGTTGACCGCACTACCTGCTGACTGCTTCGCCTCGCCTGCTTTACCTTGGTGACTAAGTTCCCTCCAAAGCCGCCATGAATAATATAGGAAGTAAAAACCGCCTAAATCTCCTGCAGGATGCAAATGATGAGTGAATATGCAGAGGTTAATAATTTCCCAGTATCATTAGTCTTCATTTTTCATCATTCAACGGAGGGCGTTCATCTTCAATATTTAAGTTGACTAGTCAGGCTAAAAGTAAAGCAAAACGCATACTCGCATACTGTGGTGTTACGTCCGGCTGTTCGTAATTATTCTCACCTAGATGAGCAATCAGCATCGCTCTAAGTTCGTAATCCCAAAACATATCCACATTAGGGACTACCTAGTTTAAGCAGAACAGATACTTTAAAGAATACCTGGATATACTCTCACTTTCACATGCATTTTGATCTTCTAAAATATTTGTCGCTAGGTATTATTATGCATCTAATTTAAACAGTGCGAAAGATATAACACTGTGCAGAAACTCAATGAAACAGCTCAACTCAACACTTGAACTGATTGTAGTGATCCTATAACCCCTTGAGATAAAACCAACAGCGGGAGGAAGTTCAAGCAATAACTGCGCTGCTTTGTTCATTCTAATGAGAAAGAGATGGCAACGAAAACGAGATTAATTTGTTTCGGAATTCGCTCAAATGCTGGTCACACGCAATGGTGTCCCGAAAATTATACAGTTCTCAATCGGCATCCATCAACACAGACAAAGAAATCAATCGCCGAGGGCAAAACGACTGACGCCCCATAGATTATATGACTTCTGTTGATTTCCTACAACTGTATCTTGGTAGGTTTTCGGGCTGCGCACGACATCGTTCACCAAGATGTACTGGAGAATGTGATTAGATCATCGTGGTCAGGAAGAAAATGGAAAGACCTCGTAATCAGTACATTACCTTTCTCCTGATCTGTCTGTCTGTTTTCGACATAGAACTTTGCGCCGATGTGCGGCAGCTCAAGTCGCCACACTCCACGTAATACACAAAGCAATAGAAAAAGGTAGAAGAAATAGAGACAGTAAGCAGAGGTGTGAGACAAAGGAAGAGTAGTAACTAAGAACAAAACAGTTTCATTGGAAATCATAAGTCACAAGGAGTGGATACATTTGCGCTAGTCATTGAGAACGATGAATTTGAGCCATATCACCAATTGTTTCCAACCATCGATTTTACCGTCACGAGGACACCGACCAGTCAGGAAGTCTACACTTCTCTACGTGGCTTAGACTAACAGTTGTAGATTTCATTGACTGGTGCCATGTATTTGTTTGACCGCCGCTAGCCCTATTCCAGCCTGACCCTATGTCAGCTAACATTGCTCGTCGAGGAAGGCGATGGCTAGACGTACATAGGTAACACATGTCCTAACTATCTCAGTCTATGTGACTTTACAACCTCGTCTATTGATTTCCCCTCCTTACCTAGAACTCGACGCCTAATCTCAATATTGCTCACCTTATTATACCACTTCACACGGGAGATAGAACGCAGGCACCTATGATCACAGACAGTTAATCTTTTCATATCTTCCACTCTCAGGGACCAGGTCTCAACCATAAAGGAGGACGGAGTGGACTGCTGGTTGGTAAACTCGCCCTTTGCCCGACAGTTAGCCGGATATCACGTCTACGAGGCCAGAGATGGCGTAAACTGGCATATACGAAACGAGCTCCCTGTATCCGTGCTGAGATTTCGTCAGAGATCTACCCCCTGGCACTGGCTGATGGTACTTCCCAAATAAGTGAAGCGGTCAACGTGCTCTACCACTTCACCTCCTATTTTTAAACTAGGAGTCGGTGTAGTCCAGTCCTGTAACATCATCTTGCATTTGGCGAGAGCGAATCGCATGCCAAACATTTGCAGATTGCGGCTCAAGGTGTTTAGAAGACACTGCATTTTTTCAGCATCCTTGCCTAGAAGGACTATATCGTCTTCATATTCTAAGTCCACGAGATTATTCCCCGGTAGCAAGTCAATCACTGAGTCGCTGAAGTGAGTTTGGGTTAAGTGCATTAGTACATCTATGATGAAGTTGAATAGAAATAGGGATAATGGGCATCCTTGACGGACACCACTGGTCGTCATCAGTTCAGATGACAGCTCGCCGTAAGCCCTCACCTGGCTGTATGAGTACAAGTTGAGTGCCTTAATCAGTGCAATATATTTTCTCGGAATTCCCTTTACAGCCAAGCATCGCAAGAGTACTTCTCGGTCGACAGAATCGAATGGCGCCTTCAGGTCAAGAAATATAATGATTGTTGGACGCCGGTAAGAATCCCTATGTTCTAGAATCTGTCGGAGGGTGAAGATATGATCAATACACCCTCTTCCTGGTCTAAAGCCTGCCTGGTTCTCTTGTGTTTGTGCCTCCCAAGCACCACTTAGTCTACGCATGATTATTGAGCCTAAGACTTTAGATACTATATTAGTCAAGCTAATTCTTCTGTGATTATCACAGGAAGACTTGTCTCCCTTCTTGTATATCGGGATAGTCAGTGACTTACACCAACCCGATGGGACTTCTTCTGATTCCCAGACGCTGCCTAGTACCTCAGTTAATCCGGACAGTAAGCTGTCTCCACCGTACTTAAATACCTCTGGAGTCATTCCATCAGGTCCTTATCCCATTCAGGGAGGTGTTGGATGTTCAGCAAGTTGAGTGTATCTGTGGGCCAATTAAACTGCTCCTCATAGTGCTCTTTCCAGCGTTCCAGTCGTCTATTCTGGTAGCTAATTATGGTACCATTTTCCTCAGTGATTGTTTACCTTATCATTCGCCTTTTACCACCTGTTTCCCTCATAAGTTTAAATAGTTGTCTGACGTTGCCAATCACTGATGACTTTTCCATCTCTTTAGCTTTTGTCACCCACCACTGTTTACGGTCGCTGCGAAGACTTCTCATTAGTTTTCGTCTGAGTACCTTTCGCTCCTCATCATAATCGGAGCTCGCCGGAATCAATCTTCTTGCGTCAATAATTTCGGATGAGGCAGTAGATACCCAATGACTCTTACTAATTTGTGGTTTTAGCTTATTAACAGCCTTTGCGGTTGTGTCTGCAGCCAACTGTATGTTGTGCCAGGCTACCTCAGGGGAAGTCCAGCAGTCAACCTCAGACACTCTATTCACTATTTCTTCCTTAAATGGGCACCCAGTCTCTCGATATAGTTGGTGACGTAACTGTTTCGCTGCCATCAATTTCTCATATCCATTTGGTCGTAAGCATAAACGTGAGCGAACCAGAGCGTGATCAGAGACTACGCATGTGTTCCAGAAGGAGCGACAGTCTTCTACTGACCCTCGCCAACTATACTCTATGGCTATGTGATCTATCTGAGTTCAGCGGAGGTCGCCAGGTTACACAGTGTCTCTCTTTGTGTCTAAAGTTAGTGGTGACTATGAACAGATGATTATCTGAACAAAACTGTAGAAGACGATCACCACTGTCGGCAGGGAACTCCATACGTACCGTCTACATACTTCTCAGTCTGGCACAACTTCCCTACTTGGGCATTGAAGTCGCCTGCTAAAACAACTACATCTGAACGCTTTGCTTTTTGCAGAACATTAGTAGAAGTTATCATTTAGTTCATCCGAACTGAATCTGTTGGGGTGCAAGCGGGGACTACGAAAAGGCAACGACGTGTAGCACTGTCTTTCCTTCTTTTAACGGACCCATTCAGACGGACCGCACACATACGAATATCCACTGGGATACAGTCAAGAAGTGATTTTTCCGCCCTAACACTCAGTACTATCCCTACACATGCAAGTCCTCGCTAGCTAGCTGAGCAGTCTCCTGACACCCCTTAAGTGAATTTCCCAGATTCACCTTGTTGACCGGGTGAGATCAAGTGAATGACCACCCTCGGGTTTTGCATGCCTCTGTGTCTCCGAAACACAGCATAAATCCATGGCTCGAGATGCCAGAGTTCTTGCTAGTGATGACTGCTGTCCGATTTGGCAGGGGGCCCTGACGTTAAATGCTCCTATAAGAAGTTGTCGGTGCGGCTTCAAAAGGCTATCTGGGGTGTTTCTATGGCTCTCACCGTTGTTCGTGATCACAGAGTGAACTGAAGATGACTCACAAGCCTGCAGAATAGTACTAATCGTAGTGGAGAAGCAAGATGAGGAAGGTGATATGAGTGAAGGAGAATGATGCTCAGGAAGACTTCGTGTGCCTTTGGAAGTGTGTGGGCGGTTTTTACTTCCCGGCTGCCCACACCATGGAAGTTGATTAATTCTTCGGGTACCTGAAACGGAAAGAGGGTTAGTGTTGCGTGACCGCAGAGCCCAGGGGACAACTGCTTGAGGCCGGTCACACACGGCCTGCATGAATTGGTTTCTGGGATTGGTTCCGTATTAGTAAACTTACCGCCGGTTACGGACCACGGTAGGGTAAGTTGGGATGTATAATTTTTGGGGTCGACCTTTTCTAACCCCCTCTCTCCGGAGTGGAGAGACAGCATAGCTGGCTGGCATGCAGGTCATCTGAGGGAAACACCTCACTGCTGTTACACCCCTAGTCCCCGACAGTACGACTTCGCCCTCAGCATAGTGTCAGAGAGACTCTTACACAATGCTGGTAACTTCTTTTAGTCTACTCGCTATTCTAACAACTTTCCTAGCATGGTAGGACCTGCAGGAACAATAGTCCCAGCCAGTGTAGCCTGTTGGGCTGGGTCATCGCGATGTGCAAGCCCGACCACCACGTCAAAGTAGCGGCTGTCAGTCGGGTTCTACTGACCTATTAGACACCGACCCCGGAAAGTAGAGCGAACTAGATCTGCAAATTACTGGTAGCGCTGCTAATAAGCTACACTTTGCCAGTCCTTACTAAACGTAATTTACCTACTTACTTATTAATTCAATACTCTACCTAACTTGTAAGTACTGAAGACAGAACGCAAATTAGAAAGACTTAATTATCAGGGAAAAGTGCTGAAGTGCCTCGTATATTTGAGTAAAATAAATACTAAAGGTTGTTCAAAGAAAAAGGTCTAGATCTTACCTAACGGTAATGGCCTTACTACAAACTCAAGGAATGTGCGTATAGACGGCACAATGAGAAAGCGTAAAATAGGGTTGGCGCCAGTTCGTAGATGTACAAATTAAAACAGACTCTTAAACATTAGAATGTGCACGACAGATCCATCAATATAAATGAAACGAGTGGAGATAACCTGGTTTCATGAATTTACTTTACATCTTGCAATTCGCTTATCTATGAGAAAAAAAGTGGAGCAGAGTCCATCAAAAAACTGAACACTACCAACAACCAGAAGTGAGAGAGAGGGCGGGTTGCTCGACTGGGTATCTTAAGGTAAGGTTAACACTAACTTAACCCCTCTTATTGTTTTAAGAAAGCTGCAACATTCGCCAGAGGTCTAGGACCATTCGAAAACAACAGGAAATCACATGGTCCTTACAATTCCGTCAAAATATATTGCACAGTCTATGTAGACAGGTGGCACTGAAAAGCACGAGTAATCTGCAAAATGTATGTGCTATTTAGGGGAATGAAAGGACATTGTGAATTCCTCTACATTTGTTTCCTATGTCACTTGGTCTATACACACCACTAAGCCTTAATACAATAAAAGCATACCCTAGCCAGAGACAGACACTGATTCGACAGAAGTTTCTCAAGAACGAACTCTGTACATCAATCGACCACCTGGTAACTGAAGATACAAAACATCGATGATACATAGTAGCTACCGTAGTCATTAATATTAAGTGGTTCGGTCGAAATCATCACTTGAAGTATTTAACTTCCAAGGCAGACATTTATATCTCGAAATTCAACTCATGTCAGTGTGTTGACAGGATAGATTTACTGAACAAAATATAGACTGACTAAACCAATCAGGAGAGTCTATATTTCAAAATGTTAAATTGCTTTTTCAATAGCACGGACAAGCCTTTGAGTCCTAAACATCTACTAGATCAACGAAGTAGAAGGCACTTTCAAAGAACAATCATATTTTGTACTGACTTAAGCTGTCTAACTGTTCACACAGTCATTAGTTATATCTACGTACTATCTCATTTGTTATGTTCCATGTTAGCTGGACTTGTACGCTTGATATACGCCAACTTACTAAACTAATCTCCAAGCATTTATTAATTAAAATGCAGAATTTCTTTAAAAAATATGCAAACAATTGAAAAATATTTTTCATCATTATATATGTAATGATCTGCATGTACATGAATTCAATTGTCGATAATGATAATAATAATAATAACAATGTTAGCAGTGTTCCTCTGCAAGTAAAAACCAACAAACAATTCAAAAAAGGATTGTAAACTAAATAATAGGTTTGTCAATCAGAATTGAGAAGACAAGAAAGTTGTATAATAGTACTGACGGTACACGATTATCTTACAAATTCGGTATTTTATTGCATATATATATACTAATGTATACACAACAGCGAAAAGGCATCATTGCCATAATAATAATAATGTGAATAATATAGCTGTGAAAGTGGTAATAACATATCCTACACACGTTAGTGTGTATATATATAAACCTATAGAAATAATTAAAGGAAACTTACAACCTTTAGATCGGAATATTGGTAAGTCAACACTAGAGGACAGTCACATATAGTAAATAGATTTAAGGAAAAAAAATAGTGTATTTAATTATCTTCTCTTTTTGAGCGTTCGCTGTCGTCCTTATTATTATTGTTTTTCTGTTTTAAGGGAACCTGAGTGGAATTTTCTACCGAAGCACTGGAACTACTTTTATCTGCTTTTAATTCTGATTCTAATGAGATTGCATTAGCCAATTCTTCGTTGTCAATCATTTCAAGAATACGAGTAATTTCTTTACTGGAAACTTTGACATTCCCTTCACCCAAAAGTTCAATCACCTATAGAAGAAAAAAATACACACACACAAGAAGAAAGCATAAATAAATTTGAAAGGAATGCCCACTATCCCTATTCCTGCCTACCTAACTGATTTTAGCGACTTAGGAATTATTGATTTTTCGCCAGAGAACAGTCTAGTCGACTTAGAGTATGAGGGTGATCTTGTCCTCCTCCTAGGTGAAGTGAAGATGCTAATATAATACAGAGTTGTCTGAACACTTCGGGCAAAAATCTTCACAGGTTTGCAATTCAATTGAATCGATCCAATCGAATGTAAAATAATTCTGCAGGACTGCGCAACAGCAACACCTAGCTTAAAGATAGGGAGTAGAGTGGCACAGTGTGTTTACAACCTAACTTATTTGGGAAGTCCCATCAGCCCCAGTGGATTGATCGCTGACGAAATCTCAACACGGATACAAAAGGCCGATGTGATATATCCCAACCTATGTTATTCTTGGCGTAGAGGTGATATCCGACTGACTATAATGAGCGGAAATTCGCTCTGTCTTCCTTTGTAGCTATGAGACATAGTCATTGAAAAGGGGAAGATATGAAGAGGCCGGTTGTCTTCGACCACAGATGTTCATATTCTATCTTCCTATATGAGCAATGTTAGCTGATATACGGTTAGGTTGGAACAGTTAGGGGTGTTCAAACGAAAACCTTGAATTAGTCCATGATGTCATCGACAGTTGGTTTCAAGCTCCCGCGAAGGGAAATGTAGATTGTCTGGTTGGGGTCTCCTTGATGTTAAGAACTAATAGCTGAGGACTGTTGGTGAAACGGTATGAAATTGTTTTCAACGGGGTGGTAGATGCATTCACTCTTTTTAATCTCCTAGATCTATTAAATCCTTATGTGTTTCCATGTTACAATTTACTTCTCACACACGTTTATTCCGATTATGGTTCTTCTGAGTCTCTTTTCTCTACGTTTGTGTGGTGTAAGAAGTGTAGCAACTTGAACTGCTGCGTTTCTGTGCAAAGTTCCATGTTCATATTTAGTCAGCCAGCCAGTAAACCTCCAACATAATCATCATCCGTTAAGATTGACAGACAATGAGGACTGTTAAGCTCTTAAAACTACTGCAGAAACATTTGTTCAAGGAAGACACACAACAACCATGTTTGCGCATGCTTTATCACAACCACAAAATCTAATTACGTGATAAAATCACGATAGCAGCCTATTTCTAAAATCTTTTTAAAAATTGTTTATTTCATCCCTGTAACCGATATAATAGATTTATCTATTTTCCTTCATTAAATTAATAGTGCATTCGTTATATCTCACATGATAAATCACCTATCGTCCTGGTTTTAGGAAATTTTCCCTGCTTTTAGGTTTATAAAGAAGAATACATGTGTATGGGATAAAATTAATTTTTTTTAAAGAGGAAGATTATATATTAAAAAACAACAATTAATTCCGAAATAAACAAGCAATCCTAGTGTGGTGAGAGCAGGCTGCTAGCCGATTGGTTGGCACTAATCTACGTTAAGGTCTAGGTCACTAATATGGGCCGTGAACAAGGCTGAGTCAACAACCAATCACAGCGAAGTTAACGTGGCAAAATATGATTCGCAGATAGAGAACTCTGTTTGTCAAGGAATCCCGAAACAACCAATCAGAAGCCTGCGTTTGTCTACCTAAACAACCAATCAGATGACTGCGCTTGTCTATAATAATGTTGTCTGAAATATGTATAAATACGTGTTGATTTTCATAATAAAACGATCTGTTGCCTGGCCCTTGTCTTCTGTTGTTACACTAGTATACTGGTAAGCTTCAGCTCATATCTTCCACAAGACTGATTGGTTGTGATTCCTCAATTTACAAGATGAAGTACCAAGGCTAGGCACCTCTCCTGTGGAGTCAATTATATCCGTCATCGCTTTAGCAACCTAGTTCTTCGTGCTTGGGAACACCTACCCCCTTTTGGCTACATAAAAGTGTAGCAAAAGCCATCAACAGTTCTATGTTAGATCACTCGGTCCAAATATACTATAATGCCAGTATTGAACGATTTTCTTCCATCAGATATCAAACAAACAGCTAAAGGCCTCCAAATACCAAATACTCTAGACAACAGAAGTCATTATAATTCGTTTAAAACAACCAGAGGTCTGTGTGCAAAAGAAACGGGTCGAATGAATATCACTACCCTGGCCTGTTGTGGAACCTGCAAATTCATAAATTCTGTATCAGGGTTTCTTAATTTATCCGATATTCAATCTAGTGTTATATTTATGCACATGATCACCTACAGATCCTTTTTGAACTGTACTCTATTGAGCTTAGTGATTCAATGTTATTAATGACATTCATTCTCCAGCTATAATATATATATCTGTAGAACCTGATGAAGAAGTTATCGAGAAGAATGCTCTTATTTGACTGATCCGCGATCTCAAATTTATAAAGGACATATTTGACCAAAACAAACAGAGCTTTCCTCCGGGGAATATTTTGATGTGGTTGTGTTCTCTGAGCCGGATAGTTAATTTGCGAAGCTTTCATCTCCCTACTAGGCGACATCTCCAGTGAATCATCAATCAATAGACACATTGAGATAGACAGAATTTATCATCCAGTAAGAAAGAAACCTCACACACAAAGGGTCAAAGTTCAAGTCAAAGAAACAATCAGTTCCAATACAAGCAGCCTAGAAGGTGTGAAAACACACAAAAACAACCAGTCACATCTAAGGTCACAATCAGAGATGATTAACAAACTCGTGGAGAAATCTAAAAGCTCATTTCAAATTGAAGTATGCGCTGAAGATGTTGCCTAGTAGAGCGATGAAAGCCTTGCAAATTAACTATCCAGTTCAGAAAACACAACCACACCGAAATCATCCACCTGAGCTACAAATCTTCTCTATCATATCCGGGCAATATATGCCATACCTAGTTGCCAAAAATGGCAATAGTAAGTTAAAGTGGAGTCGGAATACATCAAGTATGCAGACAAATAAATGATATTTAGAAGGTGATGGTGAGGGATGGTGGTAAATTAACACAACTTACAGATAGGATATGTTTCAATTCAATTTTACCATCTTTATCTTCATCTAGAACTTTTAAAATTTTCTCCCAACGTTTATGATCATGAACACTTTGAATACGTTTCAATGATTCGAGTAAATCATTCATATCTACTACACGTTGATGATCTGCTTTAATTGCATCAATCATTTTTGACTGCTCCTCTTCTTCAATTGAATCTTTTATATGATTAGCACGAATCTATAAAATAAATAAAAAATGTATACGATATAAATTATAGTTTAAAAAAAAACAGTTAAATAAACATCAAGTTCAAATGAAATATATACCGATTGAGGTTTACTTAGTTAATGTGAATGGAAAATGAATCAAGAGTATTGATGCTACCGCAAGTGTCACACACAATGGGGAAAAAGTAATCCAATCGATACAAATTGAGGGAAAAAAGAATAGAAAAATTCTGGCGCTTACAACCAGACCGGTGCACATTTAAATTTACATAGGGGAGTTGAGAAACCCTAATTCTAAGCCTGTTGTGTAGTACATGCGTGCCAGAATCCGAACATATAAAATGGGATATGAAGTGGTTTCGGTCACCGGGAGTCATGGGAGCGCAGCTCCACTTCCTTGACTTCAATTCAGAAACTCGTGCGATGGCCCTATAAGACAACCACTTACTACAGTGTGGCCGTCCGCGAAGTATCCCAGCCTCCAAGAAACTATAAGACAAAATACCTTACAAAGTCTTAGGCATTTGATGTAAAAATAAAATTAAATCATTCGATTGGTTTGTGACAAAAAATACGGTGATAAGATAAGATAAGCTTCATTCCAAATCAGTACTTGTGATACAGAATGGAATTCTCAGCACTTTACTACAATATTGCATCCAGTTGGTACATTAACTATAAATATGGTTCTACATAGATTAAAGTTATCTCAGTCAGTTTTGACAACAACATATTAGCATGTCGGTAGCAAAGCATGTTAACAATTAGTAATTTCAACGATAATCAATGTATACGTTTGAATTACGGTTTAGTTAAAAGACACCTTATACTACTTCTTATTTTGTAAATTCCCCTCATTGTACTCTTGGTATTACTTGTGTATTAAGTCACCAACTTGGTAAATTATGGGCCTCAACAGATGGGCCACGAAAATTCTCATAGTTTCTGCGAGGGCTGGAATACTACTACTATTACTCGGACGTCAGATCGAGACAGGTAGTAGTCTTCTTAAAAGACCATCCCTCCCTGAGCCTTTGAATTGAAGTTTGTTCCACAAGGCACTAGAACAGAGTCAGAAGCTATGTTCCCATGGATCCCAGTGACCAAAACATGTTCATACATCAACCGGTCTCTTCGACTTCTGGAACCCATGTAATAAACCACAAGTGTGGAATCAGGGTTTCCATCCAGCTCTATATATGTCTACTAATCCTGTACTATAAGCACCAGACGTTCGCATCCACCCTTTTACTTTTGTGTTATCACATTATAACATCTATTGGCTTTAGTTCACTCAACATATTCTCTAAAAGTATTACATCTGACCTGATAAATTCGCATTTGTCATTTCTGTACGCAATTTTTTTTCCTTCACGTTTTCCAGTGGAACATAGGGCTCCAAGCTATTGGCTTGAAGTTTCTGTAGCAGTGTTTATTTTTACAGGATGAGGTTGCTAGCCTCATGCCCAACCTTTCCTCCTTACCAGCTTTTATTACTGGCTGAGCGAGGTAAAGGAGTGCGTCGGCCGGGGATCGAACCCCGGACCATGTACATGGTCGGCGAGCGTCCTAACCGCTATGCAATTAATCCTCCAATAAAAATTAGTCCAATATCTATGTACTTATGTCTATCAAACTTTGTATTGACATATCTTTATTCATTCATAATTTTAGTCAATTTGTGACTCATGTAATCCTTTCAACCAAATATTATCTCACTTCAGTATTTCCACTCAGTGTTAAGTTTTAACACACAACATACAGCGTACTTATTAGTGTGTATTGTAATCCACATTTAATTACTATTGTACAGCTATGAGAATCAAATTGTAGCAAAAAGAAAATATATAACCCGTTCTCCTTGTAATCTTAAGCTAAAAAAAATTATAAAAAGTGAGAGCTGCTGAACCCACATTTTCAACCCTGGCATCAAGTCAACCAGCGCTTCTATATACTTTAGAGTCTTACCGTATTACGAACAGGCTAGCGACACTTTCATCAACAGCTGCCTCCACGAAATACTACTGAACATCAGATGGCAAAAAACGATAAGTGACAAGAAACTCTGACAACAAAGCGATCAACCAACCTATTGCCGCCCAACAAACATGCCGAAAAAAAGTGGAGATGAATTGGACATACACAGGGGAAACATTTGAGTGGAATTGTGCCATGTAGACCCGTCGAGTGGAACACAAATGAGGAACGACGTGTTAGGCATGATGAGGTGATACAGAGAAGAATATTTTGGGAGGAAAAGAAAGAGCATGGGCAGTCATGGAGCCAGAGAATAGAGTGAAATAAAGATGTACCGCTGAAGTCCTACGTTCCACTCGGAACTGAAGGGAATATTAATGTAATAATATAAGTATATGACTGAATTAACTAGGATGTATCCTCATTATATATTAGAATTAAGTGTTACCGATAACTGAACTGTTCGCATAAAAATAAAAAATTCATTTAATTACAGTATTGTGACTGTAGGTCAGTAGTAAACATTTAAAAAATGAAACTATCTGAGAAAATGGGTGTGGCAGAATAATTGATCTGAAAATCCCTCCGTGTATAATCGATTTACAATATTGATACTCATTAGAATATATTTCAACTCATTTTGGAATTGTTACCCGTTTTTTGCTTGACCTGTAATATCATCGTCCTTCTAACTTGATCCTTATTACTTATCTTTGTTTTCTGTTTTGCTTGATTTCGATTTTCAATGTTTCCCTTTGCTGTTGTTGTGTGATAATGGACCGTTGATAATAATGTGTTATTTTACGACTATGATTTTTTTAATGAAGTCAAGGACATGCCACTGAATGACTACTTGATCTTGGGCTGTTCTGCAGGAAACATGCTTTCTTTTGTTTGTTCTTGCAGGCAAATTTTTGACCTCACTTTGTCGGAAATATTCTTAATGATCCTCAGGCAGTTTACGATCGTGTTTGGTCATCTAACTTGGTTGTACAGTTTGTATTTTGTAAGTGAGGAACTTCTGAACTGTATAGATGCCAGATGGCACTGTTGAGTTAGTTTGGCATTTTCGATATTATTATTTAAAACAATTAGTTCCCTTTAGGAATTTAGATAAAGCAATAAGAAGAAGTAATTTGTCTGAATCGTGTAATGTATTTGCGCAACACATTTCGAACAATCCGATCACACATGGACTTGTCAATGAATATATATGAAATTAATAAACAGTTAAGAGATGGGAAAATAGATTTAGGTCAAGTTAAAAGGACATATTCAAGGTCAAACTAACAATGAAGACCACTAAACCAAATGACAGAGGTAATAGTACATCTGCTATGGTATCAAAACAAAGTTTACCAAAGAAAGTTTAATGTGATGACGACTTGTTTTTGAACGCGTATAGGTGGTTTAAACTTTCTAATTGCCAGCTGGGGCTTCCACAAACTTTAGAATACGCCCTCCCCCAAACACGTTTTATAGATAGGTTTAAAAGATCTGTTAACGTCAATTTTATGTTCTGTTTCTATAATATGTTTCGCAATAGAAGAGCTAGGTCTCCTGTTCTCACCGTCTATAGGTTCCGAAGATTCCATTTGTTTCTGGAGCCATTTAAGAATATGCTCTGAAGCCCTTACTCGCAGGGATCGATGAGTCCTCTCCATGTATGTGTGGTCACACATACATTCAAATTGGTAAACACAGTGGGATTTGACATCATTTTTCGCATCTTCGAAGATATATTGGCTTTACATTCTCTATTATTATGATATTAGCTGCATAAAGTCTTTTTAACAGCAGCGTTCAGTCTTTGTCTAGTTATCAAGCTGCTTTGATGCCCCATATATGATAGCTTGATGTACACGTCTTTCTTAGGAGTGAGTTGGAGAGTGGGTCTTGGTGTTCAGACTACTTTATATCTCCTGATGAACTTGTCTGGATAATTGTTATCAACCAGAGTTTGTGTCAACTTTCTTTCTTCTTGATCAAGTGTGTCTTCAGTGCATATTCGTTGGATTCTACTGATCAGTGTGTGATCAGATTGTTCGAAATGTGTTGCGCAAATACATTACACGATATTATTATTGTCGTTATTTATTATTTCCTTGGGTTCCGAGTGGAGCATAGGGCTTAAACAACACATCTCCACTTTGTCCTTTCTTCTACCGTCCTCTTCAGCTGGGTCCACAATTGCCCATATTTTCTCATCTTCTCCTAGCACGATCTCCTTCATGTCACCATCTCACCGACGACCCACTCATCGCTTCCCATTGGGATCCCACCCGAGCGACGGCCTGGTGTGCGATGATGTTACTCGACGGCCTTCTTAGAGTATGTCCAATACATCTCCACTTTCTCCTACATATTTGTTAAGCAATCGGTTCTTGCCTGTTGGTTTGTTCCCAGCCAGACGTTCTTGTTACTTATTATTTCTGACCGACCATTTTGATCTTCAGTATTGAGCCAGTGAAGGGGACGGCTGTTGATAAAGGTATGCACTGGCCTGTTGGAAATGCTTTTCGTGACACGCAGACCAAGTTTCTGACCCGTATAGAAGGACCAACCGACCGACTTGATATTGGTGTCGAAAATACAAATCTTGTTCTTTATTCTGGCTGAGTGCAGAAGATTCCCAAACTGACTTCAGGTTGCCTTTCCGACTATGAATCTTCGCATACATTGTTATCATTCAGTAGTACACAGATGCTATGACGTCAAAACCAGATTTTGACATTGTCCAAATGTAAATCTCCACTGTGTGTAAGTCGCGCAATTTTAGTAGGCTATATAGGAGAACGCATCGATTGGTTTCCTGAGTTTAAACCGAAATATTTGGGTTTTGGTTATTACAGCGGGATAATGAAATCATAACGAATTTCAGCATGAATGTATTAATCCCTTATAGTAGATAAAAGTTATTTTCTTTTAAAAAAGGAACTATATATTATAGACATATGTATTATGAACTTAGACTACTTTTTCACTAAAGAGGAAGATGTAATCGACTTCTATTAACTTCTATTTTAACATTAAGTCTTACTAAACGACAACACCTCTAATTATATTTCAATTGAATCATTAAAAATAGTTCTCGAGAGAAAACTCTGAACAAATATTTTATTCAAATAAAATAATTTAGAGGTAATTGATTCCTTCAGACTATTTGTGTATTATACCAGATCACCAGTAATAAGCATTACTAGTAGTCACGCTCAGAAAAAAAACACTGCAAAATCAAACTGAATTGTCACACGTGGTTAAAAAAAACTACTGGCTGTAAGCCAAAATTGGTGGACAGTAATTTACGTCAATGTTTATGTCCCCAATATTGATCATGAGAAAAATGAGAACAAAGGCTTTGTGTAGGTGGATACAGTTAACATATGGATGATCTGACATTCAAGAAACAGTCACAAAGAGATTCACGGTTAACTTTCTGTGAGAAACAGCCAATCAGAAGACTGTGTTTTTCTGTTAACAATAATCTATAATATGTACATGAAAATCTATAAATATGTGTTGATTTTCCTTAATAAACGATCTGTTAACTGACTCTTGTCTTCTGTTGTTACACTACTAACAACGAGAGAAACACTGGACAGATTTATTCATGATGATATTAGGTAGTTGGAGGTAATCGGCAGGAAGCCTTGGACCTAGGTTTCGTGCTAGTTGGCACTCGTCATGAATCATCTCCATCCAGCCGTTGATGAGAAGAACAAACCATGTAGTTCAGCGAGGAAACTCTTTTCGGAGAATTCACTTCCTTTAGCTGTACAATTGCATCTACATACAACTTTTTTTTCACGAAAACGGGTGGTAACAAAAGTGATAAGCTGTAATAGTAACTGCTGTTAATATCAGCCAATGCATAAGGGAAGTTCGATTGGTGTATTAGAGTTTCGTAACGATATACATGATTTAATGAATGACTTGTACTCAGGGTGTAGATAAAAAACGGAGGAAAATGGGATATTGCAAAGGTGTCCGAAAGAAATACATGTGTTCTTGTGGAGCCAGATATACTGGTCACTCGACGCTGATACTGTCTAAGAGGGCAGCAGAAAAGCTGTAGTGACGATAATTGAACACTTTGTCAACACTGGTCATTGTGTCTCAATAAACTCCTAGTTCAAAGTGATCTACAAAGTGGAGAATAACCCGCCAAAGAAAATATGTTCCCACCCCCCCTAAATTGTGTTGAAGCTCTGGGCGCTTAGAAAGAGAAACCATATCTTTATATGCCAAAAAGATTATTCAGCCACTTCTACTATCGTGGTAACGACCTTGTTGTTTTTTCCTATCAACTTGATTTTTGTTTGATTGGTAGATGGTGACTTGCAGTGAAATCTAGGATGCACACTTCGTCCCAGTTGGTACTCGTCAGTTGAAAGGGTGTACCTGCATTCCCCAGTCAGTGAGTGATGATGTTCCCACTGAGGCTCCAACCCAGTGCCAACAGTTTCAAACGCCAAAGCGTTATCCACTAGATCACTAGACCAAGCGATTCGGTTCAATCAATTGACGGGAAAATCTTTTTAAAGAATTCAATTGATTTTTGTTTGTTTGTTTTTCTAACTCCATATAACCCTTGCATCTTTATTACAGCTAATTCATTAAATTATTCACTTTTTTGCGCAACTCAAATACGCAAATATTTATTTAACTCCTCTTACGCATTGACAAATATGATTATGACAACTCATCAGTTTTGTTACTGCACTCTTTCATAAAAAAATAAAATAATTGCGACTGTACAGTAAAAGAAAATGAAATCTCCGAAAATAGTCTTTGTTCTTTTCAAAAATCTATTCAATCCAACTATGCGCTTGTGGTACGGTTCGACTCCCAACCGACGTATTCCTAAACCTCGTCTGGAGAGTAGTAAGCCCGGAAAACCAGGAAGGTTGGGTGAGGCTGGATAGCCCACACCATAAAAACAACACCTGTGAAGCTTCGAAACTTAAAACTTGACATTGCACGCTCCCACTCCCTCAATTCGGAGAGAAACCAATAAGAAAAAAGAAAATATCCAGAAAACATACTGCACACAAATGACCAGGAAAATTAAACATTTCTACATCAAGTGAATACAATCCAATACAATACAACACAAATGAAGTGATATATTGACAGCTTACTTCAATATCTCTTAACAATTTTTGACGTTTATCATCCAGCTTATCTACCATTGTATCCATTTCTTTGATTAACCGTTCAACACGAGACTCCAAATGAACTGCAGCTTTTGATTTTCGTTTATCTGAAACTTGTTCCGCGGTAGTAAATTCTGCATGATGTTGTTGTTGTAACTTTGCTGTCTCGGCAACTTTTTCCTTTATAATAAAAAAAATAGAGTGAGTAGAAACGACACCATGAACATATAGAAGGGAAGAAGGAAGCCAATCAAAAAAACAACACTTAACACCAAAATATCCTTCGGATAAAGGGTTTAAGCATAACATGAAAAGTTGCTCACATTATCAACTAGCGACTGGGTATTTGCAGTGATTAGTTTGTTACATCAGTCAATGGTTTAATGATAAAGTGCTCACAAAACGCCCGGTGGATCCGGGCTCACTTCCTGGCTGACGCACTCTTCAACCCCGCTGCTTAGCGAGTAGTAGGCCCGGGAAAAAAGAAGGTTGAGATGTGAAGCTAGCCACCCCACATTGTAAAACACAGTACCACTCTACTACTGCAACTCCGAAGTTCAAGGTGGATGCTCTGTAATCCACCCAGAATGCAAAGAAACAGAAAAAAAATCAACCAACTTTAAGTTCACAAAACTGAAGACTGCAAGATTCTTTCTGCTTGTTAAGGCATGAACAGCCAAGTTACGAGGAAATAAAACCAATTCAGATAGTCGATAGTTCATCAGAATGTGTATGTACAACACTTCAAATTCTGTATTTCCACAGAGAGTTGATACACATCCATAGACTGACCACGTGTATTTAAACATAGATAATTATATGCATTCTTTGATTAATTTCTAAGTAACACTACCCCACTCCAAATTATTCTGTTGAATTTTGAGTAATATTAGATAGTTGGAGGCAATCGGCCACAGGAAGCCTTACAGGGATCTAGGTTTCGTGTTAGTTGGCACTCACCAGCCAGCAAGGCGTATCTGCAACCTTGAAGTAACTCATGTCCATTCTGAGATTTGAACCCGCGCCACCCAGAGCCAGCCTGCAGTCAGAGACATTACCACTGAGCTATTTGAGCTCGCGATTGACCTCCTGCAGGACTGTAGTGGGTATTTTCACTTGACACTAGTAACTAGTGAGACACGTCTAATCCTTTCTTTAGTGCAGACTGAATTCTATCAGTCAGGTTTTTGCAATGTGGCCACCATTCTAGGTAGCTCACCATCACGGTGCACATTGATTTGAGATGAAACAGATGGGCTAATGTTAGCGAACAACCTTCGGGATACCTTGAGTTCTCAAAGGAAAATAGGGATTCAAACCTTTTAAAAGTTTCAGTTGTGTTGTTATTGACAGGATGAAGTTGCTAACACCTTCCACCGAACATTCCCTCTTTATCGCGGTTCCTATTGGTTAGGTGAGAGTTATGAGTGCATCGACCAGGAATTGAAGCCGAACCACATGTGTGAATGGCAAAAATTCCACCAGTGAACCACCACCGACAGAAGACACTGAATACAACCAGTCACATTTTAGTACGTATTTCCACAAACATTCGTGTTCCTACAGATATTCACTCAATTTAGTATTATTATTATATCCTTTAATTCCTAGAGGAACATAGGGCTTCAGCCACGCGTCTCCATTGCCTTCGGTTTTCTCTCAACTTTTTCACTCCCCTCCAAGTCTGCTCTCATGCTTTCATTTCCTCTTCACATGACCTCCTCCAAGTCATCCTCACACTGACGATCAACTCGCCGCTTCCCTTTTGAGTTACACTCGAGTGATGCTCTGTCTAGTGATGTCACTTGGTGGTTTGTTTTCTCAGAGTATGGCCAGTCTGTCCATCTCCATTTCTTCCTGCCTATTTGTTTCACAATCGGTTCCTGCTGGGTTGGTTCGCTCACTGCCAGAGATCCCTGTTGCTGATCTTTTCTGGCTGACCATCTGATCTTGAGCATTGAGCGAAGACAACTGTTAATGAAGGTCTGAAGTCTGTCTGAGATGCTCTTTATGACGCGTTGGCCAAGTCTCTGATCCGTATAGTAAGTAGGACTGACTTCACATTGGAGTTAAAAATCCGGATCTTATATTCGTTTTGATGGTGAGTGCTGTTGACCTCCACACAGACTTACGAGTAATGAAAGCCTGTCTTGCTTTTCCGATTCTGGCTTTGATGTCTTCGTCAGTTCCGCCTGCAGTTAAAACGATGCGAAGTAGTTGCCAAATCACCTCTCGATCGACGCTGTCGAAGGCCTCTTCAAAGTCGATGAAGTCGAGTGAGGTGGAGAGGTGACTGCCATTCCAAGCTTTGTTCAATGATGGTCCGTGGTGTGGCGATTTGATCAATACATGACTTGTTCCTCCTGAATCCAGCTTGTTTCGGTCGAAGTTTTTCATCTAGGGCTTGTTTGATTCTCTCCAGGATGATGCGGCTTAGTATTTTGCTTGGGATGGACAGGAGCATAATTCCACGCCAGTTTTTACATTGACTTAAGTCTCCTTTCTTTGGTAGTTTGAATAAGTATCTTTTCCTCCAACCCTCAAGTACTTTGCCCTCTTTTCACACCTTCTCCAGCAGTGGTGTAGTCAAGTCCGCTGTTGTCTCTGGGTCGATTTTCAATGCTTCTGCTGGGATTGCATTTGGTCCTGCTGCTTTCCCAGCTTTTAGCATCTTGATTGCATTCAGGACTTCTAATTTCGTCGGGGGGTCGATGTTCACTAGTAGTTCTGCTTCCTTTGTTGGTACTGTTGGGCGCGTTATAGGTGGCGGTCGATTTAGAAGTCTTGAAGTGTTCACCCCAGTGTTTTCTTTGCTCCACCTCTTTGGTGATTGACTTTCCATTGTCATCCTTTACTGGCTTAATCTGTGTCGAACTTTTTCCCAATAGGTGCCTGGTTGTTTGGTAGAGTGTGGCGAGGTCCTTCAATTTAGTGAAGTTCTTTAAATCTTCAAATAATTTAAAAATTAACTGGTTACAGGATTTCATCATGAGCTGACATCGGTTAGAGAACCATTGGAAAATCACTGGGAGTACTTTGAAATTCGCAATCACTTCCCTTTTCAACATCATTTTAACTATTTAAACGAATATACAAGCGTTATATGCATTTCCGATAGGCTGCAGACTTTCATCAACAGCTGTCCTCACACTACCTCAATAGCAAGCCAGAAAGGATAAGCAACAAAAAACGAACTCTGTCAACGAACCAACCGCCCAACAAACGCACAGAAAGAAATGAAGATGAATTAGGCATACGTTGAAGAGACAGTGGAGTAACATCACGCACCTGACCCTCTGATGGAGCCCACCCAGAGGGCAAACGATTCGGGCGTGAGTCACATGGAGGAGATGATGTGAAGAAGCGCATAGGCGGTCGTCGAGCCAGCTAGAAAAGACTGAAGATAATAGAGTGATATGGAGATGTGCTGATGAGGCTCAATGTCCCTTGAGAAACCCAAGAAAAAAAATAATATGTTGCCTGTAACTTTTATATCAGTATTACTTCACTAATTATTACTGCCCACCCCCTCTGACTCCATACACTAAAAAATCAATAAATACACATGTAACCTGAATGTTAATCATTTAATTTTAATATATGTGTAAAACTTGGGCACTGTGGTAGTAAGTAATTCCATATTAGTTTGTTTATTAGATGTATCACACAGTGATGAAACAGTATTATTTACTGGATCCAGTAAATAATACTGTTTCATCACTGTGTGATACATCTAGTAAACAAACTAACATGGAACCATTTAATTTGTTTTCAGTCGGTGAATTGTATGTCCGAAACCACTAGACTGAATAAAAACAATATCATACTTTGAAAATCGACAATCTTCAAAATGTGTACACAATAACGAAATAGCATTTAAACAAAAAGTATGATAGTTGAGTGCAAACAAAGTCAACCACGACACGGGAAAAAAACACACCATTCCAGGATTCAATTTGAACCCAGTTGCTTGGCATCGGGGTTATGAGCCACACATAGTGTTAGGGCTAGATGCCCAAACTGAATTAATTATGTGGGGTGGAATTGGAAATTCAGGACACATCGGTTGAAAGTTAAGTGCATAAGCCAATGAGCCACAACACTACACGACCGTTTCAACGGTAAACAACAAACAATAAACTTTCAAATATTTCTGCTTCATATTGACATAGAAGCACATATACATGCAATCGATAAAGTGATTGAAGAAATGCAAAATATATTCAGTCATCATTTGTAGATGAGTAACTTGATAAATTTATTGATTATATGTAAGTAGAGAGGATGTACTTTATCTGAAGAAATTTTGAAATTTGTATATGCTGAAACTTAATTTCTCTCGAAAGTCAAAAACAGAAGAGTGCAAACTTTCAGAAATAAGCACTTTAACGATAATTCCACTGCTGAGAATTCTCAATTATATATATATATATATATATATAAAACAGAGGTGATGAAGATTCCTAGCCAACAACAGCAGACAACAATCAGTATAAATGGGAGGAACCTAAAAGAAACAACCTCCTTCACCTGCCTACCTGGGAAGCATCGTTTTAACTACAGGCGGAACTGACGAAGACATCAAAGCCAGAATCGGAAAAGCCAGCGCGTCATAAAGAGCATCTCAGACAGACTTCAGACCTTCATTAACAGTTGTCTTCGCTCAATACTCAAGATCAGATGGTCAGCCAGAAAAGATCAGCAACAGGGATCTCTGGCAGTGAGCGAACCAACCCAGCAGGAACCGATTGTGAAACAAATAGGCAGGAAGAAATGGAGATGGACAGGCTGGCCATACTCTGAGAAAACAAACCACCAAGTGACATCACTAGACAGGGCATCGCTCGAGTGTAACTCGAAAGGGAAGCGGCGAGTTGGTCGTCAGTGTGAGGGTGACTTGGAGGAGGTCATGTGAAGAGGAAATGAAAGCATGAGAGCAGACTTGGAGCGGAGTGAAAAAGTCGGGAGAAAACCGAAGGCGATGGAGACGCGTGGCTGAAGCCCTATGTTCCTCTAGGAATTAAAGGATATAATAATAATGATATTATATATATATATATATATATATATATATATATATATATATGCGTGTTTCAATGACTACAAGGAAGCATACTCAAAAACGAATCAGTTACACTTTGGGAAGAAGTGTAATGTGACTACACCAGACGAATTAGTATAGAAGAGAGGATAATTAGATGAGGACTAATTTTTTTAATTAACTGAACTATCTCTCGGAAATGAGTTATCGTGATGACCTACAAATGAGTCTAAACGAAAGCTGGTTAATTCACTCACACACCCACGTGTATATCAGCAATTGCTTCTATTACATTTTAACATTCATTACACAACATAGAAATAAATCCACTACACCTAGGCAAAAAATATCCCGCTAACCACAGGCGGTACAGATGAGGATGTCAAAGACATGCCGGATCGGAAAAACAAGATAGACCCCCCCCATTAAACTGAAAACAGTGTGGAAACGACCCACTGCACTCAGCATAACACTAATGTCAAGCCACTGCTTCTATATGGCCAGAGACTTGGTGAGCATGTGACGAAAATTATTTCCAGCAGCTGACTTCGCTGGCTTCATTCTGAAGACCAGATGGCCAGAAAAGATAGTCAAGAAAGAACTCTGGGAATGAACCAACCGACAATCGAGTGTCTAACAGATATGTGAATGGAAATGGATTGGATATACTCTGAAGAGACCGTTAATTGATGATACCATGCGTCAGGCCGTCGAATAGAACCTGAATGAGAAACGACGACAAGTTGAACGTCTGACGAAGAGGAAATGAAGGCTTATGGACTGTAGTAGAACCAGTCAAAAAAAGACTACTAAGAAGAGAGTAAAATAGCGATGTGCTGCTGAAGCGTTATGTTCCACTCGGGTCCTAAAGGAATAATAATAAACAATATAATACGTGAATAATACTCACACCACCCTCTTCATTCACCACTATCCCCTTGTATCTCATCAGGAAAAACCAGAAGCCTATATAGAAAACTATATACTCGCACCAGCAAGTACAAAAACTCAACCATAGCCTACTTAGCTCGTGTTCTGTGCGATAAAGAAAGCATTAGGCGTGATACCTATAACGTATTAAAGTCAGTAGAACAATTGTATCTCGTCTTTCCAACTCATTTTTTCTTTCTTTCTTTTCCTTTTCCATTTTTTTGTTGTTATGTGCTGCTTTGTTTCTCTCTTCCTTGCAAACTCTACTTAAAACATTCTTCTTCGTTCTTTCACACTCTGTATATCTCGACCTTTTTGTTACTGTTTACGCCAGTAGATATGCTAGCATCTACTTTTCTAACACCTTCAAACACTCTGTTCAATTTTTGGCTTTGCTACCGATATGCTAATATGTTGTTGTCAAAACTAACCAAGATTACCCTTAATCTACGTAGAATTTTATTTATTGTTAATGTACTAACTGGATGTAATACTGTATGTTGTGAAATGCTGAGAATTCCATTCTGTATCACAAGTACTGTTTTGGAATAAAGCAAATTATTATTATTATTAAAAAAATTGGTCCTGTAAGTTACAAAATTCTGAAGGTTTAATAATCAAATATGTTTTGAAGTTTTCTGGTGATAACATTGAATGCAACTGACAAATTACCAATGACATTATCATGCAGCTTTCCATCAATGCGTAGATTCAGAAAACACGTTCAGCTTAATAATTGTATAACCATCAGTTTTTAAGAAATACGTATCACTTTAATCGTTTACAGTCATGATTTCTCATTGATATAACAGGACCGATTTGATGATTAGACCTATTTCGCCCTTCAACAGATATCAGAATACAGCTTTGATTTCCCGTACCGAAGTTATCTGCTTAGTGGCCTAGTGAGTAGTAACTCTTTGGCAGGTGAGACGGTGAGTCCCGGACTTACAATCTCAGCAGAGAATACACCACTCACTAAGATGGCAGATACAGGTTGCAAACAGAATGTACGGCTGTTTGGCATAGATTCCATATTCTTAGTCATCATAAATAGCGTCGGTGGCACAGCGGTTAGGACGCTCGCCGACCATACACATGGTCCGGGGTTCGGTCTCCGGCTGACGAACTCCTTTAACTCACTAAGCCAGTAATAAAAGCTGGTAAGGAGGAAAGGTTGGGCATGAGGCTAGCAACCTCATCCTGTAAAAATAAACACTGCTACAGGAACTTCAAGCCACTAGCTTGAAGCCCTATGTTCCACTGGAAACGCAAAGGAATTAAAAAAAAGTCATCATAAAACGAGTAAAACAATATCACATTTTTATTCCATATATAACATATAGTGATGCAGATGTATTCACTGAATAATATACAGAGATCGATTTATAGTTCATAATCGTGTCCAAGTCGAATTACCAACACAAAGTGATGTGACTAGTTAGTTAACCGACTGACTTGATACCACACACACACTGCATAAAAAGGATATTCATATATTTTTCATTAAAATATATATGTTATCAAATATACCCTTTGCGATTATATTGTAACAACAGGAGACAAGGGCCGGCAACAGAGTTTTATTACGGAAACCAGCACGTATTTATATATATTTCATGTACATTATTATAGCTTATTCAAGCAGACTAACACAGTCTTCTGATTGGTTGTTTCTGGTTTCTCGGAAAGTTAAGCCATATATCTGCGAATCTTATTTGCCCACGTTAAGTCTGCTGTGATTGGTTGTTGAATCAGCCTTGTTCATATTTTCTCACGGTCAATATTAATGACCTAGACATTGACGCAAATTAATGTCTACCAATTGGCTAGCAGCCTGCTCTCACCTTGATATGATTATGAGCAATAAATTGTGCTCGAAACGTCATCAGTAAACATTACTGTATAACACTGTGAAACTTTATCAAAACAAAAATTTACCCATAATGGAATTATACTCTATCACAGTGCACAAGTTTTATTCTTATATCAATGACGTTCTTTATTGTTCATCTATTGTTTGTCTCCGTTCTCTTTTAAATATATTTATACTGCAAAACCGTTTCTCTGACCGACTTTTGGTACTAAAGTGTTTCGATGGAACTAATGTTTCGTTATTTTAACCAGTTTAGTTTGATGGACAATCAATCCTGTTAGTAGACAACATACCCTTCTACAACAGATGAGCCTCAGATAAATATGGCCTATAAACGGATTAGACTAAGGCACTATAAAACTAATGACCTCAAACTCTGAGAAATGTCAGACACTAGCATAAATCTTCGAGTGTTTGGCATACGGTTCACTTCTGTTAAATGTAAGATGATGCTATAGGACTAGACTACGCTGAATTTTAATTTCAAGATAGAGAGTGATGCGGTTGAGTGGGTAGAAGTTGCATAGGCCCTAATGGGATAATTGCCGACGAAAACTCAGCACGGATACAAGAGACTCGAGTGGTATTTGCTAACTGAAGTTATAGACGTGATATCCAGCTACCCATCAAAAGACGGGTGTAGTGCACAGTAGTTCGCTTTTATGGCATTGAGACATGGCCATTGAAAGTGGAGGATATGTAAAAGCTACCTGTCTTTGCTCACAGACGTTTGCGCTCGATCTTCAACATTAATTGGTATAATACGGTGAGCAATATTGAGGCGAGACATAAAGTGTTTTGGGGAAGAGAAAGTCAACTGATTAAAAAACCTGATTGTGAAACCACATCGATTAAAGTGTCTAGGACAAGTGGTGCGTATGACAAGCCACCGCCTTCCTAGACGAGTAATGTTAACTGACAAAGGATTGGTTTGGAAAATAGTCAGGGGTGATCAAACCAAAACATAACATTAATCTATGAATAGTCTTTGACAGTTGAGGAAGGTGGAGTAAAGCCACCCCACGACGTGTTACCGTGGGACGAAAGGTAGTTGTACTAGATTAGCATTCGTTGGTGTCTCAGGATTCACTGATTGGGGTCCAATAATTATAGATGTTGTCAGATATGGGGAACGTGCTGTAATTTGCTATCTTTGTGAAAGTAACATGAAGTAAGGAACCATCCTTTAAATGCTTTTGGCAAGTACGCTAACTCTTCTTCTTTTTTATTTTTCTTAGACTGCTACGTTATTATTTTTGTGTGATGCATCGCTTCGTGCTTATACTATACCAAATTTGAGTTTAATTAAATTAATTAAAAGCACAGAAGATTTGCAGGGAAATGACAGAATTTAGATTTGAATATCTTACTAAGTATAAGCAGTTATCAATAATTCATCATGTTGTTTCATATTAATAGAGATTATCAACCTGATAGAAAGAACCACTTGCTAAAATCAATTACAGATTACTAATAGTAGCTTTGTACTTCATTTACCATAATAAAACATTCCCATTGGGTCAGGTGATGGATGTAGATGAGCAAAACAAAAGTTACGGTTGATAAATTTGAACCTAAAATACGTCTTATGAACATTCAGAATGACCTGATGAATGCTAATAGAGGTATAATGGCATGTAACTCTTCCTGGATGCCCCACACTGTAGAAGTGGGTGTACTTTCGAACTGCGAAAAAAGATTGTTCACTACAGCATAAGGCCAAATAGACATCTGTTTGAGGCTGGTCACACATACTTAACCTCTCCAACTACTAAACTTTGTAACTAGGTCCGTAAAAAAAGTAAGAAGCGACGACGAAAATCGTTAGGGCAAAGTTAAACTGCACAGTTCCTAAGGTAAGGTTTCTTCTAAACCCTTTCTTTCAGAGTGGCAAAACAGAATAGCTGGAGTGCTGATGATCAGAGGGAAACACTCTTCTGGAGACCATCTTTACCAGCTTACCTCTGATTCCTCCACCCCCACCACCACAATGTACACCAAATTTATGGCATAATATTTAGGAGTCTAACCAACGACCATACCCTATTAAGGTCATGAAGATATACAACTGTTGGTCAGTTCCAAACTGCTTGAATCTATCTGTGTTGCAGAAAAAAAATCAATTAACTTTTATACATTAGTACACCACATGATAAATAAGCACATACAACTCACCTTCAAGTCATGTATTGTTTCCTCGTGTAATTCAGATGTAGAAATTTCAATAGCTGAACGAATTTCAGCTAAATCTCCAGCAGTTATCTCTGTCACATCTTCAGCTTTGGCTGGTTCTAATGTTTTCTGTTCATCAGTTGAACAACTTAAGCATACACCGTCTTTTAAGTGAGCAGGATGTCCCATATCAGCAGGAGGTTTCATCTCAGCAGCTGGTTCTTTACTCTGTACACACAGATAAATAAAAGTCAATAAGAAGAATGATAATATTTTGAAAAAAAGGAATTGTAAATCAGTTACATTTTGAATATTACTAAAATAATTTATTCGGCATAATTATTGCAATTGCGACACAGTGTGTGCAAAAAGAAGTCTAACGAGTAAGCAGGTTGTATAATATTATAAGTAAATCAACAAATATATATTTCAAATGGGATTCGGAAAGTTTCTGAATTTTTCAATGTGAATATAAACAAGCTTCTTGGTTAACAGTGAAGTTGTGAATTATGCATGTTTTAACCTTATTGGACAGTTTCGATTGGTTTATTTACGGCTTTAATTTCTGAGGGTTTGTTTGACTTTTCGCTATTGAACGCGGTTAAAACTTTACCAAAGTAATAATAAACCAGCTTATATACTAACTTAACCATAGTTTTTTAAATGAGGTAATTTTTACGTTGTCAAGTGGATTAACTGGTAGAGACAGTAAACAATGCGCAGGTTGTTAGATTTGATAAATTTATAAATTATGAAAACTGTATATATCTACATAATGAAAATACGCATCACGTTTGTATTGATTTTGTCGTTTTATGTGGGCGGGTGTTGAAACCAGGACAAACTTTGTCTCAATCCATTAGTCTTATTCAGAAAGTTTGGATTCCAATTCATGTGAGGTGATTTTCACATGAAACGTCTTTTGTGAAATCAATAGACGAGGCTGTGAAGTTACATCGAATGAGATGCTTAGGATATGTGTTACGTATGCACGTCTAGCCATCACCTTCTTCAACAATGGGCAGTGTTAGCTGAAACAGAATCAGGTTGGAAAAGAGCCACTGGTGGTCAAACCAAAACATGGCATCAGTCAATAAAGTCCATAACAGTTAGTTTAAGCCGGTCAGCCATGTAGGAAGGTGTAGACTGGCTTCTTGGTTGGGACCCTCCGGATAGTAAAATTCAATGAAGGCTGAAGACAATTGGTGATATGGCTCAAAACCGTTCTCAGTGATGGTGCAGATGCATCCACTCCTTTTGATTTATAATACCCAATAAAACTATATTGTTCTTCAATATTATTTTTTTTTTGATTTACAGCTTGATTCCACACTGTATTTTTGGTACAAGTATGGAATTTTCAGCATGGATATCGGTAGCCCAAATTTTGCAGGCCGACCATAGATATCAGATGTGCGTCGGTGTGGGCTCGAACCCGGGACCATGTGCATGGTCGGCGAGAGTCCTAACCACTGTGCCACCGACGCACAGTTTACTGTCTCCATTTTGCCTTTCTCTTTACTTTCTCTTCTTTCGTCTGTCTGTCTGTCTGTTTTCGACATAGAACTTTGCACAAATGTGCGGAAGTTCAAGTCGCCACATTCCGTGTAGCACGCGAAGCAAGAGAAGAAAGTACAAGAAAAGCATAATAGAAACAGTGAGCAGAGGTGTGAGACAAAGGAGTAATAAAGAAATACAAAACAGTTTCATTGAAGATCATAAGTCACAGGGAGTGGATGCATCTGCGCCACTGAGAACGATTTTGAGCCATGTCACCAATTGTTTCCAACCATAGATTTTTACCGTCCCGAGGACCCCAGCCTGGAAGTCTACACCTTCCTACGTGGCTTAGACCAACTGTTGTGGATTTCATTGACTGATGCCAAGTTTTTGTTTGACCGCCGCTAGCTTTTTTCCAGCCTGACCCTATATCCGCTAACATTGCTCGTCGAGGGAGGCGATGGCTTGGCATACGTAACACATGTCCTAACCATCTCAGTCTTTGTAGCTTCACGACTTCGTCGATTGATTTCCCCTGTTTACCTAGAACTCTACGCCTAACCTCCATGTTGCTCACCTTATTATGCCACTTTACACGGGAAATAGAACGCAGGCACCTATGATCAAAGACAGCTAGTCTTTTCATGTCTTCCACTCTCAGTGGCCAGGTCTCACAACCATAAAGGAGGACGGAGCGGACTGATGAGCAGTACACCCGCCCTTTGGTCGATAGTCGAACATCTCGTCTACGCCAGAGTCGGCGTAAACTAACAAATGCGAAACGAGCCCCTTGTATTCGTGCTGAGATTTCGTCAGAGATCAGCCCGTTGGGGCTGATGGTACTTCCCAAATAAGTGAAGCGGTCAACGTGCTCTACCACTTCACTTCCTATTTTTAAACTAGGCGTCGATGTAGTCCAGTCCTGTAACATCATCTTGCATTTGGCGGGAGCGAATCGCATGCCAAACATTCGTAGATTGCGGCTCAAGGTGTTTAGAAGACTCTGCATTTCGTCAGCGTCTTCGCCTAGAAGGACTATATCGTCTGCATATTCCAAGTCAACGAGATTATTCCCCGGTAGCAAGTCAATCCCTGAGTCGCTGAAGTCACCTAGGGTTAAGTCCATTAACACATCTATGATGAAGTTGAATAGAAAAGGAGATAATGGGCATCCTTGACGGACACCACTGGTCGTCATCAGTTCAGATGACAGCTCGCCGTAAGCCCTCACCTGGCTGTATGAGTACGAGTAGAGTGCCTTAATCAGTGCAATATATTTTCTTGGAATTCCCTTTACAGCCAAGCATCTCCAGAGAACTTCCCGATCGACAGAGTCGAATGCTGCCTTTAGGTCAAGAAATATAATGACTGTTGGACGCCGGTAGGAATGCCTATGTTCTAGAATCTGTCGGAGGGTGAAGATATGATCAATACACCCTCTTCCTGGTCTAAAGCCTGCCTGGCTCTCTCGTGTTTGTGCTTCCCGAGCACCACTCAGTCTACGCATGATTATTGAGCCTAAGACTTTAGATACTATATTAGTCAAGCTAATCCCTCTGTGATTATCACAGGAAGACTTGTCTCCCTTCTTGTATATGGGGATAATCAGTGACTTACACCAACCCGATGGGACTTCTTCTGATTCCCAGACGCTGCCTAGTACCTCAGTTAATCCGGACAGTAAGCTGTCTCCACCGTACTTAAATACCTCTGGAGTCATTCCATCAGGTCCCGCTGCTTTGCCTAGTTTCAGATTGGTGACAGCTTTAGTAACCTCAGTTAGTGACGGAGGACCTGTGTTTATATCCCATTCAGGGAGGTGTTGGATGCTCGGAAGGTTGAGCGTGGCTGTGGGCAAATTAAACTGCTCCTCATAATGCTCTTTCCAACGATCCAGTCGTCTATCCTGGGAGCTAATTATAGTGCCATTTTTTTCCGAGATTGTCTCACTAATGATTTGTCTTCTCCCACCCGTTTCCCTGATGAGTCCAAAGAGTTGCCTGGTGTTGCCTATCCTCGAAGCTTTCTCCATCTCTTTGGCTTTTGTCGCCCACCACTGTTCACGGTCCTTGCGGAGACTTTTCGTAAGTTTCCTCTTGTGCAGCTTTCGCTCCTCATTGAATTCGGAGCTCGCCGGAATAAGTCTTCTAGCATCTATCAGTTCGGATGAGGCGGTGGAGATCCAGTGGTTTTTACTCACCTTTGGGTTTACCTTATTCACAGCTTTTACAGCTGTATCTATGGCTGCCTGGATATTTTTCCAAGCTTCTTCAGGGTGAGCACAGCTGTCGAACACAGATATGTGTTTAGCTAGTTCTTCCTCAAATACGGATTTAGTTTCCTGATCGAGCTGGGGACGTGATGGTTTTACCGCCAGCTGTTTCCTACGTCCGTTCAGTCGTAAGCACACCCGAGCGCGGACCAGTGCATGGTCGGTATCTACGCACGTGTTCCAGAAGGAGCGACAATCTCCTACCGACCCACGCCAACGATAGCTTATTGCTATGTGGTCTATTTGTGTCCAGCGTTGGTTTGATGAAGGGGGTCTCCAAGTCAAACAGTGTCTCTCCTTGTGTTTAAAGTTAGTGCTTACAAGAAACAAATGATTATCAGAGCAGAACTGTAGGAGACGGTCACCGTTGTCGGTTCGCTGGCACGGAGCTCCATAGGTGCCACCGACATCCTTCTCAGATTGACACAATTTCCCTACTTGAGCGTTAAAGTCACCAGCTAGAACGACTATGTCTGAGCGTTTAGCCTTTCCCACCAAACCAGGGAACTGGAAGAAGAAACAGCAAAGACATGACATCAAGTAAACACAGAGAAGACAGAGGTGATGAACACAGCCAAACAACAACGGGAAACATCAGTCACTATCAATCGGAGAAATTTGAAAGAAGTCACTTCCTTTATTGATCTAGACAGTATCGTGTCAGACACACATTACGGATAAGGACGTCAAAAACCAGAATTGGAAAGGCAAAGCAGACACCTTCATCAAACTGAAATTCGTTTGGAAATTTCCTGTACTCAGCAAAAAGAACAATATTCAAATTTTCAACACCAATATGAAGTCATTCAGTTCGCCTATATGGGTCAGATAATTGCACTGCGCGTCAAAAAAGGCATTTCCAATAGCCAGCTGCAGACTTTTATCAACAGCTGCCTCTTGCGTTGGCTCCATACTGAAGATCGGATGACCAGAAACAATTAGCAGCGAGAAATTCTGGGAACAAACTAATCAAGAACCTATTACTCTGCAAGCATGGTGAAGAAAATGGAGGTGGATCGGACACACGCTACGAAGACCGTCGAATGACATCGCACGCCAGGCATAACCTCGAGTGGAACCCGAGTGGGAAACGATGAGTCGCGCGTCCGAGGGTGACACTGGGGGATCGTGTGAGTAGGAAATCAAAGCTTCTAGGCAATCGTGAGCCCAGCTGGAAACAATTGCAGAGAATAGCACAAAATGGAGATGTGCTGTTTATGCCCTGTGTTTCACCACTCAGAACCCAAGGGAACAATAATAAGAAGAATCACTTTGATAACCTTATTAACATTAAATAGAGATATATCAATTAAAAAACATCGTTTCATTTTTTTCCGTCCACTGGGAAATACAAATAATTTCCAAACTATTAAATCTATACCTAGTTTTTGATACATATAAGATATAGAAGGTATTGCGTAGACGTACATCCCACAGTAAACCACACCGCACAGAGTAAGTTAATCGAACTTCACACTAGCTAAACCATTGAATTGTGAAACAACAGTCCACTTGAAATTTAGGTCTTTTTGGAAAGCATCTACCAGTGTTTTTCACTTCAATAAGTTTGAAAAAAACATGAGATTGGTGTTAGACTGTTAGAGGTAGGAAGCTATTTCTGAAATATTGAAAACACGGATGCCCACTCATAGATTCAAACCTGTGTCTTCGATTGCTGCAGTCAGAAACACTATCACTGAGTCATTCTGGATCACTATCGATCACCTACCTGTAGAACGGTGATGCACAGAATGATTGATCACTGCTTGGTGTGGCTCAGTGACTTAAGCACTCAGCTCCTAGTCGATTGCTTACGGGTTCGAGTCCCGCCCTACCTACTTCAGCGTAAGCAACTGGGTAGTATTGTAACGACAGAAGACAAGGGCCAGGCAACAGATCGTTTCTTTAGGAAATCAATACATATTTATAGATTTTTATGTACATTATTATAGATTATTGTAAGCAAACACAGTCTTCTGATTGGTGGTTTCTCGCTGAACGTTAATCTTTCATCTGTTTGTGATCATTTATTGAAGTTCAGATTATCTATCTGCAAATTGTATCCGCCTACGCAAAGTCTGCTGTTATTGGTTGTTGAATCAGTCTTTGTTATTTTTCTCACGACCAATATTGGGGACGTACACATTAACGTAAATTACTGTCTACCAATTCGGTTAGCAGCCAGCTCTTACCACAGTATCACTAACTCTTAGCTAAAACAAGTAAAACACAGTAACCAATTTCATTTGTCTAGTCCTTAATGTTGGTGCTGACTAAATTTAATAAGTCAAAGTTTGCGATGTTGTGATTACAAGGCTAAGTGATTGACCATCATTAAAACCCAATCCAGGGAAGCCCAACAACTGCCTCCAATCACCTACGGTGGTCTTTTATGACCCTCAGGTGGCACCATGAACTAGTGGCTAACTAAAAGATTAATTAATCGTTATCCTAAGTTGACTAAATGATGAATTACAACTAAAATGAATATACTAGCACACGCACACACACACATACAAACACCTACACTTTTCAGTGTTTCAGGTTTTTAAAAAAACAGTGATGAACAATTGTAAAATGTACACAAAAATAACGGTAGCAGAAATAAATGATTTACATTCTAATTTTGTAGGGCTAGAATGTTATCACGTGTTTTTAAAGTACTATCATCTAGTGACCTTGAACTCGCAAAATTACTAACAGACAATTTTGTTTTTTTTCAACGATTCAATGTGTATTGTTGAAAAACAACAACAAAATACTAACAAAAAATAATGATATATCTTACAGTTTCTACAGAAAAAGTCAATTGAAAAATGTATACAATTACTAGTACAATTTAACCACCGTTCTAACACATGCTGTCGTGGGAGGATTCCCTGAATTTTTATATTCTCTTCATCGCATATCACGTGTCACTTCTCACTCGTAGTGTGGTGAGAGCTGGCTGTTAGTCAAAATTGGTGGACAGTAATTTACGTCAATGTTTATGTCCCCAATATTGGTCGTGAGAAAAATGAGAACAAAGGTTTTGCGTAGGCGGATACAGTTAACATATAGATGATCTGACATTCAAGAAACAGTCACAAAGAGATACGAGGTTAACTTTCTGTGAGAAACAGCCAATCAGAAGACTGTGTTTTTCTGTTAACAATAATCTATAATATGTACATGAAAATCTATAAATATGTGTTGATTTTCCTTAATAAACGATCTGTTACCTGGGCCTTGTCTTCTGTTACTACAGTAGGATTGTCAAAGTCATCATTTTCTAAAACTCAATTATCTGGAACAGACAGTTACTGTACTAGGGCATGCTTATTGCATGAGTGCTGCTGATAATACCTAGTCGCCGAGACTGAAGCAGGTGGTGGACCGAGACTCGAATTCATAACCCGTTGGCTGCAAACCGAATTCCTAACCCAATGAGCAATATCACCAAAGTCATAGTCATTTCACATCATCACTAATTAATACTAATATTAATATTCTCACAGTTGGAGGATTTACATGGTATAAATTGACTCTCGAATATTCCCCACGTACTGATAAAAGCGTTATAACGTTGAATGATAATGTGTTGTTCACTGTATTAACAAACTCAGAACTATAAAATCAGAAGCTAACAACATTGGCATTCAAAACTCGATGACAAATGATTTCTAACTTCTGTTAATTTATGCGCCATTGTATTTTGACCTCGGTGGCTCAATGACAACCAGTAATCTGGTTGACTCGTAATCTGGTGACTCTGAATTCAATTCTTCATGTAGTCAAGGATGAGTTACCGATAAATAACCTAAAAATAGGCCTCCAGTGCCTTTTAATTACGTATAGTTCTCTAATTGATTTCGACTGACAATTGAAACAACTGTTTGATATTCTCTTCTCTTCATCTAAACAAACATACAAACAAAGTGACACACGAATGGAGCTGTTGCTTAGCCAAATAACAACTCAGTTTTCAATGCAATGGGTAAAAAGTCATTATACCACCCCAGCTACCCGAATTCATTGTGCCACTCATTGCATATTCAAGTTACTGAATCAGTGAGTGAAATTCACAGTCTGCAATTTAGACTACTGACGAGCTCGGCCCCAAAAGAGAGAAACGGCCGTCTCGTGTTTAGATAATTTTGATCTGGCTACAAAGCACTACTGGTTGATATGAATACCACAAAACTACTCATTTCAATTAGTCAGTAGTATATGCTTTCACGAGGAATCAATCAGTCTGTTTTTCGTTTTAGCTGCCACATCTAAAACTATAAAACCATGAAGCCATCAGTATTCAACTTTTTTTCACTATAGGTATTATTTAGTTTTTAAATATATTATTAAACAGCACGACGGTATTATCCACTGAATAATATCCAGACTCACGTTATCATCCACAATCATATCAGACAGTAGCTCTATCACCTTCAAATCTAGTTATTACAGATACAATCGTTTGTCTTTATTGTATTATAGAGAGAAATCTACAGATTGCTAGAGCTAGAGCTCTTGTTCTATATGTGCAAAGCTCAATCGGTTAAACTGCAGGTAAGGAATTTAAGAGCACGTAGGCGCTGTAGTAGTGTGCAATTCCCGCTCTACCTATTTCAGCCTAAGTAACTCGGAAGCATAATTAGTCCTCACGCAATAAGCGTGACTTATAGTCTGAGACACGAAAACGCTATCCCGATTAACAGAGTTTAAAAGAACATTAGACAAGTTCTCTCTAGATAGCATTTTTGTCATTCCTTGGTGTTGCAAATGGAAGATAAGGCTTCAAGACTTAAGCCTAAGATTTTCAGCAGAGGTGGTGTTTTTTTTGTTTTACGGGATGCGGTTGCCCGGCCTTCCCTTCAGACTGAGCTCACCGCCAGCTAAACAGGATTGGGTACACCAGCCGTGAATCAAATCCCAGACGAGACACGACTTCTTAAAAGGTCCCAGATACGCGCTGCTGATGAGTGACAGCAAGCAGAGTTTCCTACCAACTATCTCGGAAAAAAACGTTGTCTTCCTGTGATATATACTCTGGAGTTAAAATTATTATTGTCATAAGGACTATCGAAAATCAACATATCTCAGCTTCTCATAAAGAAATATGAATTGTTTTACATGCAGTGATAGATTCACCTATTTGCTAGTTTTACAAATAAATCCTTTATCCGGAATACAAAACAACTAGGAAAAGAAGGGGTGGGTCTCTACACAATAATACTAATAACGTATTTACCTTGGGTTGTACACCAGCGGTCTGTGATAAAATAGTAGCTGGGTCGACCACGACAGGTGTAACTTTGTCAAGTTCTGTAAATAAAATAAGAAGTGAAAAATTTGCATAAGGATATGAATGTATTCACTAAAAACTATTAACAGCTTATCTATAACAAGTTCAAATGAATCATCAAGTAACATAAATACAGAAATTCTTATTCATCTTATTCTTACTACTTCTTGTAGTTCAACCTTTCTCGTCAAGATATTACATAATATCCAGACACCTACACCACCCTGAAGACGTAAAGGATTAGAAAGCTATACCTGTGGTGAGAGCAGCCTGCTAGCCAATCGGTTGACATTAATCTACGTCAATGTCTAGGTCACTGATATGGGTCGTGAGAAAATATGAACAAGGCTGTCTCAACAACCAATCACAGCAAACTTAAACGTGGGCAAATATGATTCGCAGACAGATGGCTCCACTTTCCGAGGAACTCGAAAACAACCAATCAGAAGACTGTGTTTGTCTACTTGACTAGACTATAATAATGCATGTGAAATTTATATAAATACGTGTTGATTTCCTTAATAAAACGATCTGTTGCCTGGCCCTTGTCTTCTGTTGTTACATACCTACAATAATTGTACGCAGCTAACTTATGAATAGAGCCCATCATGATAAAATCCTCCAACCAATCGAACAAAATTCCTACAAATCAATACTTGGAAATTGATCGAATGCTCACTGGCGACTGGCCCTATTCAGGTAGGTAGTTACCTGGGACTCTAGTGGGAATCCATGACCAGTAGGGTACAGTAGGTCGAAGGTGAGCGCAGTTACTCATCGAAGAAGACATTGCGAAGTGGTCGCGCTATGTCGTGGATCGGCAAAAGTTAGAATTCATGGGTTGGCCATTGGATCAGGTCCCAGTGACTTAATGGTCTACGAGCTCGCTAGCCTTGTAACCAGAAAGTCCTGGGTTCGAACCCTGGAAGCGTGTGCATACTGCGAAGAGTCCCAAACTAGGACGAAACAGCTATCCAATACTCCCAGATTTTCCAATGGTTCTCTAACTGATGTCAGCTAATGGTAAAATCCTCCGACAAAATAATCTCATTAAGAATATAACGATGAAATCTTTTTGCTAAATATCTGTTTTAAGCAAATATAAACAGTAAATGAGACTATATAAAAAAGAATCGAATGTCATATAAATTGCCATCATGAAACAAGTTAACATTGACTCGTTTGTTGTGTTACTGACCGACAAAGATATCTGAACTGATTTTATGAACGCCTTCCACTTCCTGTATACCGCTTTCACCTATAGTAAGGTGCATAGTAGGCTCTTATTTTTACAGTGACTAGTATCATTGTCTGATATTTGCACTTAGCATTTGCCGTGCAGTCAGTTAGTAAATTGGGTCCCCATGCTGATATATCTGCTGCCTTACTATTCGATGTGAAGTATCCAAATTCTCTACCATGCTGGAATCTAGACTATACTAGACGGAGGACGTGGATGTGTTAGAAGGGAATTTCGTCTTCACAGTGTAAAAAGAAGTGATTACCCCCCCCCAACCACATGAATCCAGATTGGCTTATAAGCGATATAATGCATCCCTATTTAATCAAAGCACAAGCATACATTGATTACTGAATTTATCAGAAGGGTATGAAATTCTAGGGAGTCTCTCAAGTAGAGATGGACTGACGTTACCATTCACATCTAGGTGAGCTATGAACTGAATTAGGTACATAGAACTTTGCAAACAAATGCAGCAGTTTGGGTTGCAACACGTCTCATGAAACTCCACAAAAGTAAAAGAAAAAATACAAAGAGATTATCATATGCTGAAATGTGATGGAGGAAGAATAATTACAAGGAGGAAATTAAGGATTTATTGAATCTGTGAAATCACAGAGAATCCATGTACCTGCGCCACTCACAACGACCTTGAGTAGACTCACTGACAGGCCTCCACTAGGCAGTCTACACTTTCCTGCATACCTCAAACCAAAAGTGAAGGACTTTATGGATTCGATGCTATATTCTGATTTCACCAGGACTAACTCTTTTCCAACTTAGTCCAATGTGAGCAAACACTGCTCCACGGGGAAGGTGGCGGTTCGGCAGGCGTAACACGTATTCCAGCCATCTCAACTAATATAGCTTCACGACCGCATCGACTGACCTTCTATTTTTGCTTAGCACTACACTTGATCTCAGAAATACTGACCACACCATATCACCTAATACGAGATAGAACGCAAACATCTATGGTCAAAGACTGTTAGCCACTTCGTATTTTCACTTTCAACACCTACGTCTCATAGTAACTCTACAACAGACAAGTTTTGATGCCGGGGTCCCCTCAGGACTAGTATTGCTATCACATTCAGAAATGTATGTGGTTATCCATTCCCTAAATAAATACTCCATGTTATCATCAAAAAGTTGGACTTTAAAGGAAAGCTTCATTTCAGAATTTTTCATATAAAGTAAGATAGTATTGTTGCTCTTCGAACATGCTTTTACATTCATAGAGCTTTCGACATCAATCTAACTATCACCTTTACCGCACCTATGCAAAACATCTATAAAATGAGTCATAAATAATCCCATTATAACACATTCTAATGCCATCTTGCTAAATTTTAATAACCAATTTGAAAAATACCGTTAACTTGTAGCAGTACTCTTAAATCCTAGAACACAGCTCAGCCTCATACATCAGATCAATTAGAACGAAACTACTCCTTAATTAAAAATATATAAATCAGCATAGCGATCCCTCTTTGTAACTTCTCATCAAGGCTAACAGCTTTTAATGGTCATATCACTTAAAAGTAAGGATGAAATGAACCTCGGTGAAGTACACACGATCTTTGATGGATAGCAGGATATTACGTCTATGCTAAAGATGTCCCAAATTGGCAGATGCCAGATGAGGCCTCTTAGGTAAGCTCCATTTTCCAAGCCAACACCTCTAATGGAGTGTTACGAAAAGAGATCTCTTCGGTGACTTAAGTGTTCTTAATTCACATCCCAAGGGGGTGGAGTGGATAAAGGAGAAAGATGATCACAGGAGGGCTCTGTGTGATTTTGGAAGTGTGTGGGTAGTCGTTATTTCTCGGCTGCCTGCAGGACCTGCAGGAACATTAGTTCTATCCAATGTAGCTTGTTGGGTTATTGCAATATGCAAGCCCGACCACCACATCAAGGTAACAGCTACCGGTTGGGACATATCAAGGGAACTATTCATAATCCTCACTTTTTGTCACACAGAAATTTATAAGTTTATTTTCTGCTGCACAAACCTAAGAAGTGCCTGTTAGTTTCGTAAACTTACAAAATCCCAACGAAGGCATTCACATTATCTGAAATATAGTTTACAATGTGAGAAACAGCAATATAATATGCAGATATTAGTGAAACAATAAAATTTGGTCTGAGGTAAACTCTAAATGACAAAACGCTATTTATAGTTGCATGAGTAATCTATTACAAACTGTGTCGAAACACAACCCACTAAATGAAAGAAATTGTCATCATTTGACCCACAAGCATTGACAAAGATAATCCCTTACCTTCATGTTTAAGACCTTTCAATAATGGGGCTTGATCAGTTAATTCTTCTAGTACAGCAGCTGACGAAACTTTGGCTTGTTCAGCTTCAGCTTTCTCCTTTTCAGCTAACTCTTGTTTACGCTGTTCCCTTGCAGCCTTGATACTGTCTTGTTCTTCGCGTAACACTTGTATTTTGGTCTTAGGATCGAGTGCATCATGAGGAGTGTTTTCTAAAACACGAGCTACTACTTCTGATGATGCAGAAGCGGGTAATTGAGCAATAGCCTAAAATGTAAGAAATGAATGAATATAGTTAAGCCTTTCACATGAAAAGTTTGCAAAAAAATACAAACAAAATGTGCTCCAGTCTCTGAAAAAGCACACCTTAGTGTTGCATGACCTGATATGATTAGTTTTAGCCGAAATAAGGGCGTTTTTATGCACGAGATAAAAACTATGAAAATCCGAAATAGCTACAGTGAACTTACAAGCAAATGAAATAGAATATACACTTCCGAAATAACGTAAAACCTAAACTATGAAATAACCTTGTATTTTGTTTCGTTTAGGTAGTACTTTTTACCAAAACCTAAATAACAGAATGGTTAAAGCGAATGAAAAGTTGTGAAAGTCTGAAATCTGCATAGTCAGACATTTCAAACCACCTTATATGGTTGATTTGGTACCAAGTGTTGATTCGGCTACGTCTTGCAATTCATAGCATTTCAAAACAGATGATAGGTTAGGGAATGCATAACACGCTGTAACAACAGAAGGTAGGACATGGAAGCCAAGGTATATTTTCAAGTGATCAAACCACTATTTATATATATGTACAGTTTTATATTCTCTAAGCAATCATTGAGCGTGTGATTTCGGTTTACATCAAACGACGTAAAATATAATGTTCAAATACATCTTATGTAGTATTCTGTTGTTAATGCAGTATTTAACTGTGGTAATATGCGAGAATAATATTCCGTTGGTACATATCGTCTGTATCACACCACCATAATGTGGCTCAATCACCTCAAGCTTTTTTTATCTAACCTGCCTATTTTTCCCACGAATCTATGTCTAACTTCTACATAACTCACATATTATTATGATTATTATTTAAACGCAGAAAAGCTTGGTATAATATGGCACTAAGACGATGCACCACACAATAATAATAAAACAACGTAGATTAAAAGTAAAAATATGAACGGAGAACGGATAAAGAACTTCATTTGAAAGGAAAACAGTCATACTTAACAAGTTCAAATAGCATTCGTCAACTAATATCAGAAAGGGAAGCAAGGAAAGATATTGCAGCACTTTCGCCATTGATTACGATTCTTGGCCATATCCGATAACGTTTCGAGCTATCTCACGGACCCCAACGAGGGAGTCGTGACACACCAACCGATCCTAACCTAGCATAAATATCCTTCATTCCACGACGTCACGTAATGGACTGATCACCTCTCCCCCTTTCCATCCCATCCCAGGGCTATCGAACAGACACCTCTACGGAAGCCTCTGGGATGACAATCGCAGCACATGTCCAAGCCACAGAAGCCGGTGTTTCCAGATGACGACACTCAATGAATGGTGATCTCCACTGTGTTCAAACACACGCCGCCGAACCTCAGAATTACTCACGTGATGATGCCATCGGACGCAAGCAATCCTGAGGAGACAGCGACGGTCGAACACGCAGAGTCGCCGTACATCCTCAGCTCGGAGAGGCCAGGTTTCACAGGCGTAGAGCAAGACAGCCTGCACCGAAGCATTGTATACCCGACCTTTGACATCCAGGCTAACGGCGCCAGAGGTGGCTGAAGTTGATGTATGCCACCCAGGCCCTCATTCTACGGTCAAAAATCTCATCTGTCACCCCTCTGCCAGCACTCACACAACTACCTAGATACACAAACTTATCCATAACTTCAAGGGATTTACCCGCAAGGGTGAGTGCAAGTACAGGCTTCTGCCAATCTTGTAACAGTACTTTGCACTTAGACGGTACAAAGAACATACCATACTTACAGACACGGATCGTCAACTGATTAAGTGCGATTTGGGTAGCCTGTATGCTATCGCACAGTAAGACGATATCGTCTGCATGCTCAAGGTCGAAAAGTCTATCTCCACGATGCAGACCTACACCACCTTCACGCGCATCCTTCAGAGCTGACTCCAGAATGTCATCGATGGCAAAGTTAAAGAGAAATGGAGAGATCGGACAACCCTCTCTAACCCCACTGTTGGTTGGGAAAAGTGATGATAGTTGGTTGTATGCCCTCACTCTACCTGAGGTGTTTCTGTATAGGGCTTTCAAGATATTAGCAAACTTCTCAGGTACACTCGTCTCTAACAGACAGTTCCACAGCACAGTTCTGTCCAACGAATTGAAAGCAGCCTTAATATCAAGAAACACAACGATCGTTGGCCTGCAATACGTGTGGCGGTGTTCCAACAACTGACGAAGGGTGAACATATGATCAATGCATCCACGACCTGAACGAAACCCAGCCTGCTCTTCGTGAATCAATCCCCCACGTATTTTGCACAGCCTACGAAGCAAGACAGCAGCCAATATTTTAGACGCAACTGGTAGCAGACTGATACCCCCATGATTGTCACATGAATTACGTCGACCCTCTCTAAAGATGGGGACGATAATGGCTTCGTTCCACATTGATGGTACACTCTCTGTCTCTTATACCTTCCTGAATAAACCAGTTATAGCGAGAGTCTCGCCACCATCTTTAAAAAGAGCCGGGGTTGATTGTCTGGACCGGGTGCCTTATGACGTTTTAACACTTGGAGTTCCTTACGGACCTCCCCTTCGGTTGGTGAGTTGGTAATAACCGACCAAGGAGCACTGGAGCTAGTGACGGCAGATACTGAAGCTGGTGGCCAGCTAAACTGTTTCTCGAAGTGCTCTGCTCAGCGTTCCAGGCGTCTTTTCAGGCTGGTAATTGGTGTGCCATCTGCCTCACAGACCATCTCGCTGACACCTAGTTTCTTACTGCCGGTGGCTCGGATGAGTTGGAACAGCTTCCGACCGTTGCCAGATGCAGCAGCTGACTCCATCTCAAACGCACGTTCTGATCACCAGACTTTGCGGTCCTTACATAAACACTGTCTAATCTGGCGCATAAGCGCCTTTCGCTTATTGTTGTATTCGCAACCAGCCTGAATGGACCGGCGTTCATCCAGGGGTTGCAAGGAACTCGCAAGAATCCAGTGGTTTTTAGTGGAGCATTCTTTCAAGCCGCAAGCGGCTACACTCACCCTTTGCATGGCATCTTTTAGATGAAGCCAATGTTCATCTATACTACTTGGGGGTTTGCTGGCAAGCATTGATTGTAACTCATTCTGGTATTTCAAAGAAGTAGCAGGTACTACTAGTTTGCTCACATCAACGTTTAGACGACGCCTTTAATGAACCCCACCAAATCGCAAGACGAACTTGGCACACACTAACGCATGATCGAAATCCAGGCATGTCCTCCAGAAGGAGCGACAGTCTTGTATGCATCCTCGCCACCGGAAACTGACAGCAATATGATCAATCTGAATCCAAGCTTGATTCGCAGAGGGAGGACGTCAGGTAGCGCTACGGCGATGGCTGTGCGAGCGCGCAATAAGTTTCACTGATAGTTTGTTGATTCATTTCATTTATTGCGTGAGGGCTGAGATACTGCCCGAGCACCCAGACCGAAGCAGGTGGTTTTCTTAAGGGACCGAGCCCCCGAACCTTTGACTTGGAGTCTAATCCGCAAGGCAGCGGAGCAGCGTCAGCAGCTACGTTCCCATGGCTTTCGGTGAACAATATAGGTTCGTACGCCATTTGATCCTATTGCATTCTGGAGCCCATGTACCCCATGACAACTGTTTTTAGCCTAACTGCTATCCAAACAACCTTCCTGACATGGTAGGACCTGCAGGAACACGAGTCCAAGCCAGTTCAGCTTGTTGGGTCACTGCGGTATTCAAGCCCGACCACCATGACAAGGTAGCAGTTGTCGGCCGGGTAACTCACATGGTAGTTCCGACAAACACCGAAGAAGTTTTAAAAGCAATGATAGTCAAACACATACAGACTTCCCAAATCCAGCTTCAGTAGCCATATTTCACAGGCATAGAATAGGGAACATTGCGCAAATTAGTAGCATCATCAACCCCTAACCGATATTGAGATATCTCAAGTGTACCATAAGTGGTGCACGTTGGAAAAAGCTACAAAAGCTATTTGCATTCATGCTAAGATTTCACCATCCAGTAGTAGATAATAGCTGACAAGACCTACCAAAAAAAGTGAAGTGACCTGTCACTCGTTATAAACAGACAGTCATAAAAGCACGTCAACTACCGCATAACAGTTTCTATTTAGGAGGTCTTTAATTCAAAAGGACCATACTGTGGGCTTGGTATGGCGTGCTAAACATTAAATATAATACATTCCATGAAATAAATCTCTGTAGATTCAAATGAACAGATATACTCCTCCCTGAATACATTTACAATAAATTAGAATTAGTGGATGTGTATATGAGGAATACTACTCCACACAATAAGAATAGCAGTCTACATGAGAAACGCAGAAAGAGAAGTTTAGAAAACAACAGAGCTAGAGCTGTATCTGAACAGATAAAATTACAAAATAGGATTAGATTAAGTAATGTCTCAGATATCAATATAACATGAGACAAAGAGATAAATTAACGAAACAGTGTACATTTAATCATGACTCAGTATATTCAATAAGAATTAGTAAACATTTATTCGAAATACTTAACTTCAGTCTCTATAAAATGTAAGAACTATTTTAATGGTCGTGTGACAATGTTAATACAAATAATATTACATCACTATTTTAGACAGACTTTTAAACAATATACCCTTAAATCAAAAACTAATTTACTGACATTGGCCTAAACAATGGGCTGTTTTTAATTTGTGACACAAGAGTATCACACACTTATGTGTGATTTACAATCTAATTAATAAATACATAACAAGTTTATAAGTGACAAATTTGAATCTGTCTAGAATCAAAGGAAACTGATTGTGAAAGCGAGGGTGTTCAAAAAGAACTCAGTTAAAAAGTTCAAAACAAGCAACAAACGTTAATAAAGCAAGATTTAATGAATTCATCAAATTTCGGCAGGACTCTTCAACTGGATACTCTACATACAGGGATATATATACACATATGCCATTAGAATTATATTGGGATACAAGACTGAGTATTCGGCTGAGGATTTCTACAGAAATTCGATAAATTCTTTGAATCTTGTTTTATTAATCTGTGTTGCTTGTTTTAAATTTACATCCGGAAATAAATGTTTCCAATTCTTAAAGAAGTACCTCCCGGAAAACACTATCAATGCACTACTAAGCGAGTCAAAAAGTGTTAAGGATCTTAAAAACCATTGTACAGATTATTAAAAAAGGCTTGAAACTTCTGAAAATACTGAAAAGCAATAAGATTTCAAGAAAGTCATTTAGTCATACGTGAATAACAGACTGAATAACACAAGTGATTCAATGATAAAGGCCTCATGCCAACTGAAGTAAAATTTAAAGACATAGTTAAGTCAAAAACGCTTACCTGTTGTAGAGGATTCTGATCGATTGTTGCCTGAGACACATGGAGTGCACGAGAGAATAGTAAAAGTGTGAGTGGTACATTCTGCTTTAAGTGTAGATCGAGCCATTCGACAAGTTGTGATTGGAGGCGTTCTTTCGGCAATCCGACTGAACGCATACCGCGCTCCTGACACAAGGTTTGTAATTCCCAAGGTGGTATCTTATCGACACCTTCTTTTGCTATCAACTGCAATAATAAATATGAAATGAATGTTGTCACATGAGTATGTGAACAAATAACATTTAAACAAAAAAATGATAGGACAAACAATGTTTAAGTCTTACTATTAAAATTTATTGTGAAAGAGATTTGGTGATAATGTATAGGAAGCTTTCACGTAAGCAAACACCTGATAGCAGACTAAGCATCGACATGGTGGCAAGTCTTGGCAGCTAGGATTGCGGATTATTTTGCAGTTTTGTTATTCTGAGTCTGAATTTCTCCAGTACAGCGCTCAAAGTTAGTTCAGGCTTTACATCAGCGGTACCTTAACACGACGTATAATACAAATAGGACGATAAAACTGGTATTTAAACCACAATGCTGACGTGACACCTGGATCATCAAGAGATGCATCAATGTAGTTACACCCCAATGTGATAAAAGATTGACGATACTGCAACAAATGTAACGTGATAGATTTTTGATGTATCCAAAGAATATTCTGCTTGAATAATTGATTTGTACGCTAACCTACCCTAGTTCTGCAGGTGCACCTACAAGTTTTTACTTGGATTCTCATGTCATGAAAAAGCTACAAATCAATAAATGCTAAATACCAATTAAAAATAATCATATTACCTCTTATTCCAAAAAATGCATTACGAAATCGGCAGCTTAATTCTAAACTGTACACACCTCAATAACTTGAACACCTAAGAAGATTGCTTTATTCTTACTTGCATTTGTAATTCCAGTCGTACTATTTCTAACACCAGTTAAAATACTTCCTTTATTACTGTTTTTACTGCAAAAATGATTCCTCTTTCAATAATACTAACACACGAATCAAGATATGATGCTTCTGTAACCTTGACTTAAAAGTTTAGTCTACTATCCAACTATAGGTGAAAAAACCCGGAAAGAAGGGATTATTACTAGTGTTAGTCGAGTGAAATCCCAAATATTCATATCAACAGAACTACAAATATAAAGGGCTAGTTCAAAAGTAGAAAAGTTATGATCTTGTTAGTAAGACCGTGTGGAAATATACATAGACAAATTAAATTCTAGACAACTTATCAGTGATTACACAATAGGATTACCAAAAGAATCTCACTCTATCTTCAGCTTTTAACTGCCTGACACGCATCCAAATCTGAAATCTAAGCAGATGACTAGGTCCCATAGTTGGAAGAGAAAGAAGTTGACATAACATTCTAAGCTGTTTGTTATCCAGTGATTCCAGCGTCACCTGATCTTCAAAAAGCTTGGAAAATCTAGTAATGTCTTTGGCTTGGGCTTGTTGACCAGATTTTTGCAACTGTAAAAATTGAATAAACCATCAGTCATATTGAGAAAAAGTGCAGTGGTACTTTAAGGTAACTATGAAATTTTACAATATTAGAAATAACTTCCCAGAACAAGATTTCAAAATATTTCAAATACAAAGCTAAGCGAAGGAAACACTATTTTATTTCTCCCACTGAATGAGACTAAACGTCTTAAAAAGATTTTTTCTGATGAAAAGCATATTTTATCATAAAAGTCAGTTATGCTAGGAATGTTATCGGTTCTTCAGTAAGATTAGACAGGCTGATACCTGAAGCTGAAATTCCCTTTTAAAAAGACCTCTTCGTATTTAATTGTCTAAGTCACTGAATTACTTGTTGACGATACAAAGCAGGATTTTCAAAGAAGTCACTTGACTGAGGTTTTATGACAAACGTCTAAAGTTATCCTGCTGTTCCTATCAAATCCTGAACCTCTTTTATTAATGTCAAGTAATCCTGTTTTATCATTAAGTCGCACGTCGGGCACGTCGAGAATCAAAGTCAGGACCTTTGGGAAAGCAGTTTGTCGGTGATTAGCTGATATACGTCAAAAGACAAGTTTCTAAAAGACCTGCAGCGTCGTTTTTATGAAACCATGGACACCACACAAGAATTCTGACCTTCCGTCCATGTTAGCACCAGAATTCTTAGGTATAATTATTAAAGTTAGAGGAACAGTGAAGAGTAAATTTTACTGTTAAATTATTGAGGTATTTTCACCAGACTTCATGTTGACAGATAACTTCATGGCAAATCCCAAAAACACGACAGTACTTCTAAAACTCAGTGCCTGAAAGTTCCAGGGCCAAGTCCCAAACCACTACCGCAGGACCTAATATGATTTCGTGAAAAACCTAGGGAAAAACAGACTAGCTAAACTTGGTGAACAGACTTCATTCAACTCATACATAACAGACCAATGATAACAACATAATCAACTACAACATTTAGATAAGTGTCCAGTGCAGTCCACTTACGATCACTTCTTAATTTCACACAATGAATCATATAAAAACTGAACATCACATTTACTAAATACACATTGAAGAGATATATACCAGAAATTTAGATACTAATAAATACTCTTTAATTGCGAATACTTGTAACAAGTGGAATATAAAAATTTAACGCTATTATTAGAGGTGATAACCCAAGCAAGTACTTACCTGCTTGATGAAGTCCTGGAATTCAACAACAGAAGGTGTATCAGGATCTCCTTTGCTAGCCCCAGTGGTTTGTAGCATAGTCTCTTGAAGAAAACGGGTTAGTTCCAGTTTAGCTTTTAACCGTTGTTGAATAGCGTTGGCCTGAAAAATATTATTATTATGGGAGTGGCAATACCTCAGATGACTTCTCTTTAAATGTGCTTGGAAGCATAAAAGGGAAGAACTTCAAGTAAAAGGGAAGCAGTAACTCCATAAATGGTACAATTATAAATACGGCGAATGGTACAAGGCGTATAATATCAGCCACTGTACGAACAAGCTGAAATCAAATTTAGAACTTTATATCAACTTTTACCTGTTTCCGTTCCCTCCTGGTTAGCGTGTGACCTCGAAGAACTCTGAAGCAAATCCCAGAAGCAATTCTGACTTCAAGACCAAGTAGTCTGAATCCATGATAGTAATGAATAATCTCCTTTTTAACACGAGCCCATAAAGAGGGCTTGGCAAGTTGTTTGTTGACCTTGTAAATAATACAATTATTACAACCAGCTCACCTTATTTTCATCAGGTTGCTCTACTGGTAGTCGGTTGTCAGGTTCCGAAGACGTTAATTTATCTGTCTTTGGAACTGATGTTTCTAGTTTAACGTCATCTATATTTAATTTGGGGACTTCAATGGGCTCAACACGCTTATTCTCTTGAATCTGCGTGAGAAAGTAGTGATTGGTGCGAAAATAACAGACGGGAGCTTCTAAATAAATTGGCGGATATGGAGACCCATGACAAACACTTTTGTTCACACGGTAATATGATGGAAGACATAAAACCCTCTTGTGATGAAAGCTCCGCGTTATAAACAAGCGCAATTGTGGCTTGGAGCCACTTATACATCTTAAATATGCATGTTAGTTTTAGAATAAAATATTGGTTACCTCAACAACAACACCATCCTTGGAATGTTTGTCAATGTACTGTCCGAAGGTCAATCACATCAAAAGGAGCGCACACGTTAACTGTCCCGCCTGCCACAGAAACATCCAATGCATAAAATACAAATGTTTGAACCTATGTAATTCAGCGGAAAATATAAACTAAGATCTAACGGACTTGAATTCCATCAAGTCGTTTTGTCCTTTTTTACTAAAATAATTTCTTCAAAACCTATACTGCACATCATTTCAGGCAAGTTAAATTTTAAGCACCATTAGCTATCAATCGAGTGCGCAGCACCAATGATTTTGAAACTCTCACTGAGCAAGTTAATGAAACCTGGCAAATAATGTTGTATTCATCAATAAAATATGCCCGTCGAAGTCTTATGCTACTAAATGGGCTATCTGGGAAGTTTCAGCTTAGGTTCGGGAAAGAGTAAGCTGCGAATTAAGCCAGCGACAATTCAGGGTTAGGTTAACCCAATGAAGGAAAAACTAGGGTTGGTTAGAGTTAGATTACAGTTAGTTTAGGCATACTTTCACGTTAGGCTTAGTTTCAGGAAAGACAAAGGTTGTTAGGGTAAAAAGACCTAAACAATTACATGCATAGAATGTGGTTGCGGTAGAGTATAATCCCATTGCGGTGTAAAATTTATTTTTATAAAGTTTCATAGTGCTATACAGTAATATTTGCTGATGATAACGTTTCGAGCACGATTTATTGCTCAGTAAATATTACTGTATAACGCTATGAAACTTTATCTCAATAAATTTCGCCCATAACAGAATTTTACTCTGTTGATACTGCAACCTAAAAGTGAGGACTATTTTTATCACACGTGAAAGGAAGGTATCCTCTGAATTACCCTTATACAAATTTGATGCATATGTTTCATAAATATGTGATCCCATGCACAAAAATGCCTCCTTCACGTGACTAGTGCGTTCGAGGTCATTCATTGATTGGTACTCGGTGGAGCCTAAAGTTTAACTTTGCTCGTCCTACAATGAAAGCCTCGGTTACTTTGCTTTTCACAAACTATCACACTGTTTCAAACTGATGCATGCAAACAGAAAAACGGTGCTAACAGTCTGGCGATAACTTGTTAGGTACATCTGTCACTATTTTCATTTTTAACCAAGTGACGTCCTTTAGTTGACTTCAGTTTATATGCTCTGGGCTGAGCTGATGATTGAGTTTTTTGCCGGCCTGGTTCCGCAGTTATATTTACCCTTGTCCCGTTTATACTACTCTTACTGAACCATATTTGTTAAATCACGCAAAATCAAATGACAAGACGAAATTTTGTTTTCGAATGGAATGGGCGTAAGAATCTGCAAAAATAGTGAGTTAGGCTGCTTGAACGACTTCGAGCTCGTTTCAATAGAAAGGCGAATATTCAATTATAATAATAATAATAATTTGTATTTTCATATAAACATAAATTTACATGAAAATGCATGCCATTTTTAAAAGGCACGATCAGGTATGGTATAATGTCAAATCTTAAATTGTCTACAAGTTAATCATATTTCAACTGTTAAATATTTGATACATATATATAATTACACTCATTGTCTGAACCAGGCCGTATAGTTATTGAATTGTACAGTTGTCCTCCAGGTTGGGCGGGAAAATCGACTTCGTTTCGTTTTCATCCCGTGGTTGTAGGCATACGATAACCAACCAATATTGAGGTAAGTACAACGTTTACAAGGGATTGGAAGCTGTTTCAGAACAGTAGAAGTGCTAAGGTGAATCATTAAAGTGTAATAGATTAAGTGAGTGAAATATATCATTAATAAATACATTTATATAGAAAACAGAATGGCGAAGTAATTAATCCTTAGGCCGACAACGTTCATTTGCAATGTATAATAAAACCAGTATATTTTGTACTATCATGATGTCCACTTTTGGCTTTAATACAATTATTTTCAAGCCAGTTGTTTTTATTTCATGCCTTTTTGTCTATTTGGTGCACAACCGTACCCTCCAGAGGAAAGGAATAGAATAAGTCGAATCAAATTCATAAAGAGTCATAAAATGTTAGGTTTAATGGAATATAATGAGGATCAAGTAAAGACGTTATTAGAAAATAAGTGAGACAAGATATTGTGAAGTGGTATTTCAAGATCTGACAATGCATAGCAAGTTAATTTATAAGATGCCCCATAAGTCTGTGCAGATCCCGCGTGGTCGCATCTCAACAATAGGCTGAGCGAATGGTATATATTTAAAGGTAGAAGCATGATCTGTCTAGGCGTTCATTATTATCTTTTTCAAGATAAAGATCTAAGACCTCATAAAAATCAGAAATATCTCGAGCCTTCAAACTGCATATTGCTGTTCCTGCAGAATGGGGTGATTCACCTTAGTGACCGCCACCATATCTACTGATCAGCTAGCGCAACCCTCCCTCCTTTTTTGATGCTAGGCTCTGAGACTATGATTATTATGGCTACCGCAAATATATTGCTTGGTACCAGACACGTTCGTACCCCATATTCCATCTGCCTAGCTTTCTTAATGAGTGCTTCCAATAGGTCTCCACGTACATCTTTATGAACATATTATATATGTGTGCATGCATCCTAATGAACAGATTACTTTATAAGAAGTCAAAAACTTAAAGAGTAAAACGAATAGTTATTGTGAATAGTGGAGCAAGATTTAGCAGAACACTATAGTTGGTTCAGTGTAGGTAGTATGAGCTGAAGGTAAGGTTGGTTGGCAGGACTCAGTGTGCTTATATATAGTAAACATCTGGCATTGCAAAGTGAGGATTATTTACAATGGTAAAAATGGATCGAGTCACTGCCACTCTTCTAGGCTTGCATTCGGTCTTGGAAAAAATAATATTCGTCAACTTGGTTGAATGTCTAGTCAGGAAATACTCATCGAAATTCACTCTGTGCTAATCTCAACTAGTAGTTAGAATGATAGACAACTAATCGATTTATCCATTTTTAAACTCCAGAATAATGCACTATGCTATACATCATCAGTTTAGTTGGAAATTCACTACCGTCTCTTCTGAGTGAGCACACATCCCCACTCGCCTTTATGCAAGAATCCATTGGGAAACACAGGACGTTGATGGAGGAGATCTGACACTACTGTATGATGGTGACCATATTAATTCGAATGTTTTACCGAAATTTATGAAAGTGTGGTGGTGTGATACAAGTAATAAGTTCCAACAGAATGTTATTCTCACATATTCCCACAGTTTAGTTCGGCATAAGCAACAGAATACGATTTACCTGTTTGAACATTCAGTTTGCTGTTGGAGATAGAATGTTTTTCCCATAGTTATAAGCCTTGGCCTCCGTGTCATGCCTTCCCCATTGTATTTGGTGTGGCTGTCTTTTGGGAAATGGAAATCTAATGGCCCGCGGTTTTTAAAGAAGGAGATGGATGAATCTTCTTGAAGGAATTCGCGGTTGTTGCAGAGTTGAATGGCATTCAAGAGCCGTCGTCAAAGACGCTTCTACTTGGAACGCTGCTGAGAAGTCGGGCGAAGGCAGCACATGATAGTGCGAAGTGAATAAGAAGGCAATCAACTTGGAAGTTAGCAGTGGACAGAGAAGGGATGATGCAGTGCTTTCGTACCTCGAAACCGGGAGTTGATGGTAATCCTCTTACATCAGCACCGACCCCGACAGACCTACTGCGTCGTGCGCTGCCAACACTGGACGACAATTTTGAGGCACATATGATGGCGTCTCAGTTTATCGAGTGTTCCAGAGCATATATTTAAACATCTACATTTGATTCACGCCGTACGGCCACTAGACATTGGGGAGCCCACAAAAGTGACCAGGCAACTATTAGGCAAGAAAGCTGCCACAATAGCGCCACCAAAAGCCAGTCGATGTGAGCAACAATTCAGAAAGTTGCAGTGTGAAGTGGCCTCACAGAGAATGGGCGCGAGGACAGACCGGTGTTTTGTATACAGCAATCTGGGACACTGGAAAACCGTTGTCCGGAGAGACGACAGAGGAAAAGTTTTAAAGGGTATAATGTCTTCTATTCTCCCAGACCAGAAGTAATGGGGGCGTTCGTGAGGGAGGCTATGTATTCGAAGTTGCGCGTAAATGACTACGAGTTGGTGTGTTTAATTGACTAAGGGGCAACATTCTCACTCGTGGGTAAGAGCTTGCGTGAGACTGTAAGGCCATGTTCGTTGATGGCGCAGACAGTAAGCGGCCACGTGTCCAGAATCGCAGGGGTGTCAGGCCACAGAGTTAGCAATGGGGACGGCAACGTGACGTTTACACTCCTGTTTATACCTGAGCAGTTCCAAACAATCTTTGGGGCAGACTTCTTGCGAGAAGTAGATTCAGTGATTAACATGAAGGAAAGGGTTGCCGTTACGAAGTATGGGTGTTTCAGCATGCACGAGAAAAGTGGGGTAGCAGGGATTTTAGCGTTGAGAGTATTGAGTGTAGCAATGTTACTTCGCGAAAATGACCATCTTTTCTCTAAAGATGGAGGTCTTTGCGGTTACCGTGATAAATTGAGGCACACAGATCCAGTGACGAGGGATAAGTGACACCATTCACGACTTGAAGAGTTCCGTGTCATCCAGAAAGCGAGGCTGCAAGACAGGTCGAGGAGATGTCGAAGGACGACATAATTTAAGAAGCCAATAGTCCACATAGTTCTCCAGTGCTATTAGTGAAGAAAACCGACGGCTAATACAGATTTTGTGTTGATTTCCGACATCTGACTGTAACATGCACCTTCCCACAGCTCGAGAACTAAACATTAGTCTATATCCTTAACAAATAACGATAAAAGTTTCACGGATCTGAATTTTTAAAAACACTTTTGCTCTCACCGTCTAGAAGCAAAAAACACAACGACAACAACATCTGGAAATGCAGTTGAAGATTGAACGACCAATTATTGGTTGTTTGCTCAAACCCAACTCCCCCATATTTTTCGCGGGTGTCATCAATACGGCAGTCATCACCTCACCGTTCGCTGTTCAGAAGAAGTTTAAAAACT